TGTTTTTTACCTGTCGGCGATAAAAGCAAGATAAATCCGGAAAATTTGTACGGTAAGAAAGTCGCGCCGCTCGCGTGGCCTAAGTTTCTCACTGAAAATCCTCGTCCCTCGGCGGCACCTTTTTTTGAATTTTTTTCCTTTTCAACGGCGTTTTTTGGGGATTTCGGATTTTTTTCGAATTTTTTCGCAATAATATTCTAAAAATAGATAAATTTTAACACATTTTGATGCAATAAAAAAATTGACCGGAGTCCCCCTTTAAAAACCGAAAGAGATGAGGGAGGGAATATATCGGAAATTCGGATCGAAAACATCCCGGATGAGCTAGATTAGAAATGCTCAGAGATCCTTAGAGATCCCACTGATTCATTTCGAGGGGAAACGTTTCGATAAAATCCATAATATAAAGTTTGAGCTCAGATATCTCAGTTCGTGTAGAAGATATCAAGAAATGGCAAACTGATAAAATGTTGGTGATATTATGGTAAACCATTTATTTGCTAACGAAATTTTGATATCTTTCACAGGAACCGAGATAAATTGTCTCAAAGCTAATTGTAAGAGATAGTAAAAAAAAAGGGCTCACACACTGTCATCTTTGAGCTTAATTATCTCGATTTCTGTGGAAGATATAAGAAATTTGTCAACTAATGAAATATTGCTGATATCAGGATAAAAATTTTATCAGTTGACAACTTTTTGATATCTTTAACAGGAGCCGAGATAATTGAGTTCAAAATTGGGTAGGTTTTTATTAGAGGAAATACGGTCTGTGCGTTCCTAAAATCACCCTTTTCTGATCATCTGATCAAATTCTATATAATCTCAAGAGATTCAAATTATATGCAATTTGTGTCAAAACAAGTGGGAAGTTGTTCTTAAACGAGAAAAGGACCCAAAAACAATAAAAAGAAGCGGAAATTAAATATTTAATTTGTTTTTGTTTCCAATAATCTCAAAAAACCTAAATTGTTCTTTTCACCCTGAACTCATATTTAATTGATAATGAGAAAAGGAATATTATTTCCGGTACAAAAATGTTCACAAAATTCAGAAATTCGAAACTCACAAAGTCCAAAATACGGAGGATATAAATTCCAAACGGAGAACATTGTGACGGGAACCATAACAAGTGTTAAAATATAACTGATTATTTGATATCTCCCAATTCCCGAACGAAGTCGGACCATTTTTTATGGGATTTGACAGAAAAAAAAAACTAGCCAAAATACGTAATTCGTTTTTTTTCTCGTAAAGAAAAAAAAGAAGAAAAGAGCCGGAGAAACCGAGAGAAAAAGAAGCGAGACTAGAAAAGAGTGTAACCAGTTTGATGTCAAGGTCCCGCCCCCTTTTCTGCCTCAGCGGCAGAAGCGGATGTAACCATGGAAACCAAAAAGCAGATGTATCTCCTCTCGTGTTTCTCTGCTGCACGACTTTGAAGGCTTTTGACGTCAATTCCAGAAGAAACAAGGATGTAGAAGGTGAGAGAAATGTTCGTGGGAAAAACTATGGGTGGCCTTATATTGGTATTTTATAGAAAAAGGGATTAGGTGGCGACAAAAAAGGAAGAATAAGTAATCCACTCAAGCATGATAATCATGTTCATTGAAGCTGCACTTTTGCTCTTCTTTCGTTTTAAAGATCTTGATCTTGATCTTTAGAAACTTCTGTAAGTTCAGACATATCAATTTACTTTTTCCGCTTCAACGGAAACCCCGAAGAAGCTTTTCCAAAATTTATGTTATCGACACATTCTCGATAGAGAAAGTTCGAAACGACAGCTAACCTTGGTTATCTGGGATAAATCCAACGAACACCGCGTTCACTCGCCTCTTATGTTTCGCCATGTACCGACACTTCCCGGGTTCCGCCGCTTGCTATGTTTTGTGTGTGCATTGGCTCCGCCCACTGGAAATTTGCATATTAATGAGACTCTGACAAAGATTAATGAGGAGAAAATCGTTTCACAATGAAGTTCAGGAGGCCTTAGAAGGCGTTCGGACTTGCTTTTTTTCTATTTTCTCTTAAAATTTTCCATTTCTGTTTGAAAGCATTTGAAAGAGCCTTTGAAAAAGCTCAATTTTATGAATAATTCTAACCGTCCGATGTTTAATTTCTCTATTATATTTTTTCCTTCCGTTGCCTTCTCCCTAGTGTTCAATCCAGTGTAAACCCCTCCAGAATCCATCCCCTCCGAAAAGCGAGAGAAGTACTCTCTGTGAAGAGACGCAGTCGGTTAGACGACGCTGTTTGCGTATTTCCCGTGCCCGTCGAGGCGCCCTTTTCCAGCTTTTTTCCCCTTCGATTCTCGCTGAAAATCCCGAAAATGAAGCGCCTGTTCGACTTCTCGATAATCAAGTAATTATATAGTTATGTATATTGATTTATTTACATGTGTTTGTCACCCAAAAAAACAATTAATTCTCTGAAAAATAAATGTTGTGTTGCCTCCTGCACTTATTCTTTTGCTTTCTGCATGTAGAACCTAGTTCTTTTTGAATTTTTTAGATTCTAACAGATTTATTTTCAGAACTCTCTGGGCCGCCCGTCTCCAGACACTTTTCCAATCGATTTTCGGGAAAAATACTCCAGCGAAATCTATTCAGAATCCAGTGGTACAGCCGGTACTAAAAGTTCCCAAAACTACAATTCCATCGAGCAGTAGTAAAAGAGAGATGCATTCGTCGACTGTTGTCAAGGCGGTGAGTTTTTCGAATTTTTAAAAAATTAAGAATTTGAAGCTTCAGGCCTTCCGCAAGCCAATGATCAAATTCATCGGAGCCCGTCTCCCTCGCCCACTGTACGACTCCAAATCCCTTCCACCTCTTCAAATCTCTGGAAATTTCCCATCTGGTGTCACTAAAACCGCCGCCGCTCCAACAGCTTCATCCATCGGACCAGTCGGAAAAATTCCACGTGGACAGGGAATCGAATGGAATCAGTTGCCAAAAAGCTTCCAGAGACAAGGAATGTCAGAAGAAGAGTGTGAAGCTGTTAATGTAAGCTTTGTTCTGTTTGAAATGTCTAGAAGTAGACATTTTTCCTAAAAATGTTATATTTCTCAAAGGGGGTATGACCACAGCACCGCACCTTTTATAAAATTGATAAATTGGTATCGATTTTTTAAAAATTTGGCTCTAGTAAGAGCTCCGAGCTCTCAAATTCATCAAAAATCACAAGTTTCTCTGAATTTTCATATTCTCAAGTAGCTTTTTTCCCGTATTTTCCTCACCAGCCAAGAACTAAAATACTTGTAAAGCAACCCCTTTTTTTCTAAAACGTTCCCATAAAAATCTCTAATTTCCTGTTTTCACCTGTCTTCGCTAAAAAAACACTTTTTCTCGCTTCCTTACGTCCCTTTTTAGCGAAAGAAAACAACTAAAAAAGGTTGAAAAGAATTGTAAAGCAAACGAGATACTAGCTAAAATGAAGAGACGCAGAGAAATGGACGATTTCCATGGAGGTCTCGCTTTTGTCGCCATGGAAATCGTTTCTTTCTTTTTGCCCTTTTCCACTCTTTCATTGTTTTTTTTGCAGACTGGCTTCTTCTACAGAGGATGAACAACATCACGAAACGACAATTTTCTCAATAAATGCTTTCTTCCCCTCATATTCAAAACTCGGTTCTTGTATTTTTTCCATTAGTAAAAGATGATTCTAGCTCGGATAAATACGTTTTATTATATAAATTCCTTGGTTTTTGTTGTGTTAGAATTGTGAAAAGAGCAATATTACATATCTATTCGATAGAGATTTTTTTCAAAACTACACAGTCCAATCCCCGAAAAGCTGAAAAATCGGCGACCACTTAACCGTCTTCCTCACCATGGAGATTAGTCGGCCGCGTGGTGTTGGGGATGTGGTGTGCGCCGGTGGGCAAGAGGTCAGGGGTTCGAACCCCCGGGCAGTCATTTCTTTGTTTTTCCTGAATTTTATTGAAATTCCAGACGGCGTCTGTTGCTGAAAATGCGATAATATGCCATCCGACAATGAAGAGACATCATCAACACAAAATAATAGACAAGCATGGAGCCAGTTGATATTGGACACCTCCAAGTATTTAGGAGAATCACCACATTCGAAAACTGCCGAAAGTCTGCTTCCCAGGTAGTTTTTTTTTTGTGTTTTGAACTCCTTTTTAAATTCTCGAAATTTCTAAAACTCAGCATAAATCGAGGATGGACGGAAGAGGAAAAACAGGAACTCGTCGACGCGTTCGGCCACAAAAAGCGGCTACATTTGACGAAAAGTGGAGTGAAATCGGTTTTGGCGGCTTTTGAGGTGAGGGATTTCTCAAATTTTCAGACAAAAAAAACCGGAAAAATCGAAAATGAATCTTCAAAAAAATCTGAAAATCCGAACAATGTCTGAAAAAAGCAAAAAAATTTTTTTTAATTCGCAAATTTTATTTTTTTTATTGGATGGAACGGTGTTTGATTACGGTAGATTATTGTAGAAGCTAATTTTCTTGTAGTTTTCTTTTGCAAATACAACCACGTCAAAATGCAGAAAAAAAGCAAAAAAAAAACTACAAAATAGGAAATCAGGTTTCTACAGTAATCAATCACCGTTCCATCAAAATTCAGACAGAAAACACCGGAAAAGGCGGAAAAGAATCTTCGAGAATAGCTGAAAATCCTTAAAAGGTCTGAAAATTTCTCGAAAAAAATTGAGAAAAATCAATTTTTTCGTTTGAAATTTCCCGAATGCTTCTCGAAATTTTCAAATTTTTTGCTTAATTCTGTGCACAGAAAATCATGAAGATTCACATAAAAATGAAGAAAATATTTCAAAAAAAAAACTCCCTGAAATTTGGCGAATTCAATTTAGTTTCCTCCGGAAAGTACTGTAGACTTGGAGAGACCCGATTTTAAGAAATATGAAAAACAAGCTAGCTTCAGAATTCGATCAAATAGAAAAAAAAATCGATTTCCAGGGAGATCAACCTCAATCTGACATCATCTTCCTATGCCGTCTACTCGACCTCTTCTTCTCTCATTTCTCATCTGAAAATGACCGGAAAAAAGAAAAGTACATTGTGAAGTGTGACGCCATTGCGACGCTGTGTCGAATCACTCGAAAACGTATCTTTCTGACTGTCGACGTCAGAAGTGATGATCCGGCAGTTGATCCATATCTCGATGAGCTCCTGTGGAAATTACTTTATTCCATTGGGAATAGAGGTGAGATTGCTATAACCTTGAATTGAAGGGCCTCTTACTTTGCGCCATTTTTTCTCGTTCCCTGTCAACGATATCAAAAAGTTGTTAACTGATAAATTGTTTATCATAATATCAGAAGTGTTTTATCTGTTGACAAGTTTTTGATATCTCATATAGGAGCCGAGATAATTAAGTTCAAACTAAAAGAACCCTTTTATCACAGGTTCCATGGTATTACTATATGTTTTTAAAAATGAAATTTTCAGATTCCCGAGTGAGTCTGAAAATCCGAATGTGTGGTCTTATCACCCCAATGTGCAAGTTATTCATGCGAAAAGACAATCTTCCGGAGTCCTTCCTCCCGTTTTTTATCAAAATTTCCAGATCTCGTAAGCCTTTTTTCTCTAAAACTCTCTCAATAATTCTCTATTTTTTCCAGCACGTAATGGTCAATCAATCGGAAGACAAGATGGATTCATGGCACGACTGATGTCTAAAATTAAGACGCTGGACAATTCCGATCAAACACCACAAGTGGTTTTATTGGATAAACACCTGCAATTGTTGTTCTTCACTATTAAGAATAGTGAGTCATTTTTGGGGTAAAACGGGGAAAAAAGAGAACAGTATCAAAAATGAATTCTTAGAAAAAAACTGTTAAAAATTCATAAAAATGATGTTTACTGAATTTGGGACATCTGACTCTCAGATTCTGACACAGTATAACGGAAAATGGGGTTTTGGGATCATTTTTAGAGATGAGACCATTGTATTTATTGGGCCCACCTTTCGCCTATTATTAAGCCACATTGTAGACTTTCTTAAGCTAAAAGTTTAAAAGTTAAGCTAAAAAAGATAAGCTAAAAGTTTAAAATTTTGAAAATTCAGAAAATTCAGCTCTAGCTTTTTTTTTTCTGTTTCAATTTGCGTACATCATCACCTGGAAAAAATAATAAAGCTCAAGTATTCATTTTCGAATGAATTTGGTACAAAAAAGGTCCCACAACGACAACTACCGTAACCTAAAAATGTAGCAATTTTTCGAAGGAAAACATTGATTATTACGAAATTTTCAGACTTTTTTAGGTTTTTCAGCTATTTCCAAAGATTCTTTTTCGATTTTTCTGGTTTTTGTTGTCTTAACTTTTTCCTTGTCTTAAATTAAACGGAACGGTGTTTGATTACTGTGGATTACTGTAGATTACTGTAGAAACTACAAGGTTTTCTACAGTAATCTACAGTAACCAAACCCCGTTCCATCAAATTTTAGGCCAAAAAAAATCGGAAAAGTCGAAAAAGAATCTTCAAAAATAGCTGAAAAATTTAAAAAGGTCTAAAATTTTTCTTAAAAAATCGAAAAAAAAATCAATTTTCGTTCTCGATTTTTGTGCGTTTTCAGTCAAATTTTTCCGACGGAAAGTAGTGCTCACCGAGAAAAAAAAATCGAAAAATAAGGATACTTTTAGGTTACGGTAGTTGTCGTTGTGGGACCTTCGCCCACGATCGCCGGCGTTTCTCTTCCACAGCACCAAATGTTTGTATCAAAGTAATAGTGTTGATGACACACACAAAGTATTTCTTGTAGATAACTCTAAAATATACAGAATACTGGAAACAGTAAAAATTCGTAATTGAACAGTCCGAAACAGCTTGACCTTGCGAATGTTAGTAAAATACCGTATTTCTTCTTCTAATAGAAGCGCACCTAAAGCGTCAACTTTGAGCTCAATTATCTCGATTCTTGTGAGTGATACCAAACATCTGTCAATGGATAGAAAATTGTGGATATTATGATAAGCATTTTATCATTTGACACATTTTCGATATATTTCACAGGAACCGAGATAATTGAGCTCAAAGTCGACAATTCGGGTGTACTTCTATTAGAGAAAGTGTGGTTAGTATTGATGATACGAACAAATTAATTATTGCAGATAGCTCAAAAAGTAAACCAATATCTGAAAACAGGGAAAATTTTTAAATTTCATATTTGAAGGAGGCTTTTAAACTGTTACTGTAACTCCAAAAATTATTTTTCAGAACGCACACGAACCCATCTGCTTCGAGAAAACATCTGTAAATATCTTCTGGAAGTCCTCCGACGCCATCTCGCAGCATCTTCGAATTCCCGCCCCACTCGTCTGCTATCTTCTCTTTTTGGAACTTTTGATAAGTCACTTCTAGCAGCTCACACGGAAGTTGTCATTGGCACAATTGCCATTTTGAGATTGCTCAGTAATTTTAGTGAGTTACCGTAAACCGTGTAATAGAAGGGTCTCGTTAATTTTGAGCCCATATATCTCACTTCCTGTGAAAGATATCAAAAATGTGTCAACTGTTAAAATGTTCATCATAATGTAAGAAGTGTTTTATCAGTAGATAACTTTTTGATATCTTTGACAGGAACTGAGATAATTGAGCTCGAAATTGAAGGGCCTTTGGAATAGAGGTCTTTTTTTCAGAAAAAGCGCGAGACGAGCTGAAAAATCTGCAAGTTTTGGACATTTGTGCCAGGGAATTGAAGGAATTCTGGAGTGATGAATGGAAAACGGGACCGAAGGCGAGAATTGTGGTAAGTGCTTCTGGTTCCCACGACTCTTGATTTCTTTTCTTATGACTATGTTTTCTATACTTCTTGCTCCCTCCATGTGTCCTAATTTGCAGGCTGCTGGATTTTTCGAAGGGTCTTACACGGCTCAATTTTAGAAAGTTAGCTCGGCAGCTAGACTTATTATATGTAAAACCATGAGAAGAATTTAATGGTATCGGTTGCCCAGAATTTTTTTCCGGTTTTTATCAGCAAGGGCGAAACCACAGTAATTCTGACCATGTATGGCTTGCTCTGGTTTTTCTAGTAAACTCTACATATTTATTTTATATATTTTTGTATCCATGTCAGCACAACGTGGCACATAAAAAAGTCTGAAAATGTTATAAGAAACCAGAAATCTCTATTTCAAGCCGCCCCAGAAAAATGTGCTTTACCCGAAAGCGTCTCTCTTCCAAACAGAATGACAAAATCCCCAAAATTCGAGGGGTGAAAAAGAAGAAGAACAAGGTATACACTTTTTGAGATTAGTGAGAGTCTCTCACTGAAAGATTCCCTCTCTTTTTTCCCACAATTTCCGTTTAATCCCACAAAGCTCTTTGGATTTAAAGTAGAGATATTTAATCCCACATGCTCTCTGGAAATTTAAAAAAAAATTGGATTTATTTCTTTTTTGGGGAGTTTTTTGACCCAAAAAAACTCTGAAAATCTGAAAAATTGGATATTTAAAAACCTTTCTCTTGGTTCCTTTTGGCCCAAAAAACATGGATAATTGCTCTGTGGATACCTGAAATAGGTCTCCAACTCCTCTTGTTTTTTCTGTTTGCCCATTCATGCGAAAATTTTCTGTCTGCCAAGAGCAAAAGGGAAATCTCCTATTTTTAGAAATTTTTGAATTTTCATTTGAGGGAAAAATTGATTTTACTAATTTTTTTTGTGGTCCAAAATTTTGAAACCAAACTGGACTGATCTAAAAAATCTTTTTTTAGACATTTAAAATCATATTTGCAAAGCAAGGCCCGGCCCGGCCCAGCCCGGCCCGGCTGGCACGGGTTCTAAAAAAAAAGTTTTTTTTAATTTCAGAAAATTTTTCAAATTTTTTTGTGAAAGAACTATTTTTTATGGACAATTCTATCTTGAAATTTTTTTTCTTGTCAGAAAAATTCTCCATTTTTTTCTGTTGACCCCAAAAATAATTTTGAAAGACAGAAAATTTTTTTTCCGAAAATCCGGGCCGAGACGGGCCGGGCCCTGAAAATTCTGAAAAAAGCCCGGCCCGGCCCGTTGCAAAAAAAAAAAAATCAAAAAATTCGGAATATTGTAAGCTGAAACTCTTAATTTGAAAATTCCAAAAAGCTGAACATTCTGAAAGTTCCGAATTCAAACAATTAGAAATTGTGGAAAATCCTAAACAGTTGAACATATTTTATTCTAGAACTCGAAAATTCTAAATTGAAAATTCTTAAAATTTTAAAAATTCTAACGGTTCTAAATTCTAAAATTTTTTAAAAATTCAGAAAAATTGAAATATCTAACAACTCGAAAAATAGAGAATTCTAAAATCGAAAATTCGAAATTTTTGAAACATTTTAAAAATCGAAAGTTCTAAAATCAAAACATTTTTTTAATGTCCAAATATAGAGGAAAATTCTAAAAACGGGAAACTTGAAACTCTGAAATTAGAAAAAAAGGAAATTCTAAAAATCGAAAAATTGAAAACTCTCGGAATTCTAAATTTTAAAAAGATCAAATTTTCCGAATCCCATATTCGCCATACTCGATTTCTAGTAAATTGCTCTTCAAATGCTTCCGTAAAATCGAGAATTCACCAAAGCTCATCTGACACATGCCACATCAGCTCAGAACGTTTTCTAGATTTTTCAAATTCAGCTGCTGTCAGAAGGCGTTTTGTCTCAGCTCGTCATATCCTCTTCCATGCATTCCCCAAGTTTATAAGGCCGTTTCTCAGTTTTCAAAAATCCTGGTCTCCATATAAAATACCCCACCTTTATAAAGCCGTTTTTGAATCTTCCTGACAGATTCTTCTCAATTTTCTGTTTGAAGCTCAAGGTCACATGAAAAAAACCTCTCTAAAAAGCTGAAACTTGACTCCGAGTGGTCAGCAAAAATGTTACAAATTATCAATTGTTTACCCCTAGCTAGACTCTCTCCTGGATTTTCCAGATTCTCACTTTTTTTTTCTTCTTCTCATGAGTCTTATGGAACACATGGCTTCTGGGATCCAGGAGAAGAAGAAAAGGGATGGAAGTAGACTCCTGCTTTTTCAACGTATATTGAAAGATCAAAGTTTTTTTTTTGTTAGAATTGCTGAGACTCGAAAGATCATTGAATTTGAACCTTTCCCGAAATCTCATTTTTATGACTCGAATCAAATTGAAAATAAGAAAAGTAATATACTTTTCCATCCTTTCCTCTCGATAGAAGCTATTTGATCAAGTTTTCGGATCCTTTTGTTTGTTTTAATGGAAAGAAAATAGGGTTTAGTGATAAGTGGTAAACCATTTTTTATTTGTAAAATGAAGCTCGAGCGGACCGAACGCTTATCTTTTTTGCGAGCAGGATGATAACTATAAAACGAGAGGTCTCAATCTAGTTTTTGATAGATTGTGCAGTTCTATTATTTTTGGATTTCCAGCCAAAGAGTGATTTCCTACAATCAAAGCCCATCCAAACCGTCAACTTTGAGCTCAATTATTTCGATTCCTGTGAAAGATACAAAAAAGTGGTCAACTGAGAAACTGTCTATCATAATATCAGAAGCCTTTTATCAGTTGACAGATTTTTGATGTCATTTACGGGAATCGAGATAATTAAGCTCAATGTTACCGTTTTGATGGGCGAAATGGGGGTGATGATGGGTGAATCAGATGAAATACGGTAGAGCTCCGGGACATTTCGCAACTGCGACATTTCGCCACCGTGATAATACAGATAGGTTTTAGACTATAAAAATGATTTTGGAATTTTCAATTATGATCTTTTTCTGATAGACAACATTCTGAAATTCGAAAAAAAAATTTCCCGAAAATTCCTTTTTCAAAAAACATGTTCAATTTTTCGAATTTCAGAATGTGTTCTATCAGAAAAATATCATAATTGGAAATTTCGAAATCATTTTTATGGTCTGAAACCTTGCTAAATCTCTCCGAGCCTCGTTTTCAGCTGTTCCAAGCAAATCTAATAAAAGTCTTGAGCAGTGTCTGAAATTGAGTCAGGAGGCGTTTTCTGTTTTTTCCCCTCTATCAGATTTGCAATTGAGCTGAAATTAAGCTGAAAATTTGAAAATTCTGACCGAAAGGGTCACTAAGTTAGCTTCAATTTCGGCTCTTTTTTTTCATCTTTTCCTTTCCTGGCAGTTTTTCTTCAAAATTTTTCTATTTGTCTCCTTTGAAACGACTTTTTTTAATTCGATGCGCTAAATTTACCGTATTTCCTCTGTTAAACCCCCATCCAAATCGTCAAGATTGAGATCAATTATTCATTTTCTGTCAAAGATGTCAAAAATGTGTCAACTGATAAATTACTTATCATAATATCAGCGATATTTTATCAGTTGACAGATTTTTGATATCTCTCATAGGAGCCGAGATAACTGAGCTCAAAGTTAGGAGCCCTTCCATTTCCGGTTTTACGGCACTCCTTGTACCGTAAAACCTGTAATCGAAACGTTGACATATTTTTAATACCTCGCATAGGAGCCAAGATAATTAAGCTCAAAGTTAGGAGGTCCTTCTATTAGCTACTTAATCTCCGATTTCTAATTTCAGGATTCCCTCTCTGCTCTGTGCCTCCGTTGCATGTCTCCACTACCGTATCCTCTAGAAACTCGCCGTTTCCCAGTCGATTTCCCACTTCCAACAGCTGCTCCATCGACTCCTGGAGGTCATGGAAGAATTCGAAACTCCTCGTCGCTTAATATTTCATTTGACAATGGACGGAGTTCGGATGAAGATGGTATGGATGAAGAAGATGAGGCATTCAATAGAGACGAGGATGATGAAGGAAAAGAGGGCGGAGCTTCGGATGATGATGATGGAAAGGACGATCTGGAGGGTGGAGCACTTCCCAAGACAACACGGCTCACGCAGCAACAGTTGACAAAGTATGCACCGTTTTTTGTGGAGAACGAACAGGGAACAATTCAGCCGACGTTTTCGATGATGTATCAGACGGGACAAGAGACGTGGAGGACTACTTGTGAGGTGAGGAAAGTTACTGTAGTTACAGTAATCCAAAAACAGGTGAAAATGCATTAATCCAAGAATTTAGCCAAAATTACAATATTTCTAAAAGAATTAGAGTTACAGTAATCCAAGAAATTAGTTAAAACTACAGTAATCTAATAAATGTATTAAAATAACAGAAATCCAGAAATATAGTCAAAAATACAGTTATTCCAGAAAATAGTGGAAGTTAAAGTAATCGGGGAAAGTAGTAAAAACTACAGTAACCCTAGAAAATAAATGAAATTACAGTAATCTTAGAAAAATAATCAAAATTACAGTAATCCAAGATGATCATAAAAATTACAGTAATCCAAGAAAATGATTAAATCACGGTATTTCTAAAAAAATATTTAAAATTTCAGAAATTCAATAAATTAGCTAAAACTACTGTAATCCAAAAAATAGCTTAAAACTACGGTAATCCGAGAAAAAGTAAAAAATTTGAGTAATCCGAAAAATTATTAAAAATTACAGTACTTTTAGAAATAATTAAAATTACAGCAATCCCTGAAACCCATTTGAATTACACTCATCCTAGGAAATATTACAAAATTTAAGTTATCTCAGAAAATAGTTAAAAGCACAGTAATTCAGAAAAAGGTTGAAATTACAGTAATCCGAAAAAACTAGTTAAAAATACAGTAATCCTAGGAAAAATTTATTGAATTGAGTATGAGTACACGAATTTGATCAGCCTAATCAATGAATACATCTAATTCCCGAATTAGCTGAAACCGAAAGTACAGTGATCCGAAACAATTTAAAATTACAGTAATCCAAAAAGAATACCGTATTTTCTCTAATAGAAGCCCATGGGCTTCAATTTTTTAACCTCTCTCTCTCAGGGTGGGCTTCTATTAGAGGAAATACGGTAATTGGAATTACAGTAATCCTGGAAAATAATTGAAATTACAGTAATCCAATTTATTTGAATCCTTCTCAGATGGATTTGATTAACCTAATAAAAAAATGCATCTAATTTCTGAATTAGCTGAACCCGAAAATTAAGATTTTAGGATTTTCATTGTTTCATGCGTTCTATTGTAGCTCAGTCTGAAAATGTATTAATTTCAGAAAACACGTCACGTGATGCCGATCCACCATCACCTACCTATCGAAATGTTCACCACACCAACGCGAGTCCGTGAGAAGACTGCAAAAACTACAAATAACATGAAGAAAATGATAATCGAAGAGTTGGATAAACCAGAACGACCATCTACAAATCAAATCATTTACGATCTGGATACAGCCGCTTTCGATGGCCTACCAGGACCGGAATTGGCGTTTCCAACGAGTGGAGTCAAATTGGACACTTCCAAGGATCTTCAATTTGATTCTCGATTTGAAAGTGGAAATTTGAGAATGGTCATGCAAGTGGCACCCACTCACTATGAGCTGTTCCTCTCTCCGGATGTTAATCAGATGAGGGATCATTATCAGTGGTTCTTCTTCCAAGTCTCGAATATGAGAAAATCGGTGAAGTACACATTTGAAATTGCCAACTGTCTCAAAGCGTCATCTCTGTATAGTCAAGGTAATTTAATTTTCAAATTGTTGGAAACAGCTGGCTGGTGCGCCTTTGGCGCTATTCAACCTATTTATTTGGAAATTATGAAAAAATTCCAGGAATGCAACCGGTGATGTACTCGATGATGGAATCGGCGAACGGATGGCGGCGAGTTGGAGAAAATGTGTGCTATTTTCGAAATTTGTACATAAATGAGCACGAGGAGAAGCGGAATGTCGAGGAGCAGAAGAAGAAAAAGTACTATTACTCGATTCGGTTCAATGTGACATTCCAGAACACCGGAGACATTTGCTACATTGCCTATCACTATCCGTACACCTACTCTTTTCTTAATGTAAGTTCAAGATGGCCTGACTTTCGCAAGTTGAGTTTTCTAGGCCACCATGTTGAAATGGCCTAGAAAACCCACCAGGTGAATATCAGGTCATTTCTGAGCCATTTTAACTTGATGGCCTAACTTTCGCCAGTTGAGTTTTCTGCGCCACCAACCTAAGCTGTCTAGAAATGACCTAATATTCACATAGTAGATTTTCGAGACCATTTTAGCATGGTGGCCTAACTTTCGCAAGTTGGTTTTTCTAGGCCACCAACTTTTTTGGCCTAGAAATGGTCAGAAATTCACCTGGTACGTTTTCTGAGCCATTTTGGGGTGGTGGCCAGAATGCTATAATGGCCTAGAACGGACTGTCCCAGTTTTTGGTTTGAACAAAATGTTTTCCAGGCCTCAATGAGCCTTCTCCGCAAACGAAGACAAGAGAACGTGTACTGTCGGGAAGATGTGATTGGCCACTCTTTGGCTGGAAATCCAATAAAAATGCTCACAGTGACGTCATTGGCAAGTGCCGCTGAAATCGCCTCAAGAGAAGTAGTTGTGCTGAGTGCTCGTGTTCATCCGGGAGAGACAAATGCCAGCTGGATTATGCAAGGAATTCTGGAAAATCTTTTATGTCGACAGTCGAATGAAATGTACAGATTGAGGGAGACTTTTGTGTTCAAAATCATTCCAATGATCAATCCGGATGGGGTTATCAATGGATCGCATCGATGCTCGTTGGCTGGAATCGATTTGAATCGAGTTTGGGATCGACCGAATGAGTCACTTCATCCCGAGATTCATGCGACCAAAGCTATTATTCAGTACTTGGTGAGTATCCTTTATGAATGGCAGTGGTCGAAGATCCCCAGACGACAACTACAGTAACCTAAAAATAATTTTGTTTCTGGATTTTTTAAATCTTTTTTTCACGGCTTTTCGTCTATACGCACAAAAATCTGGAAAAAAACTTATTTTCTTCAATTTTTCGCAAAAATTTTTAGACCTTTTTAGGTAATTCAGCTATTTTCAAAGATTTTTTTTCCGATTTTTCCGCTTTTTCTCGTCTGAAATTTGATGGTGGAACGTTGTTTGATTACTGTAGATTACAGTAGAGAACTTTATAGCTTGTAGTATTTTTTGACTTGATTGTGTTTGCAGAAAAACTACAAAAGAATATTAGGTTTTCTACAGTAATCTACAGTAGTCGAACACCGTTCCATCAAATTTCAGGCAAAAAAACCGAAAAAATCGGAATAAGATCTTTGAAAATAGCTGAAAAACCTAAAAAGGTCTAAAAGTTTTGCAAAAAATCGAAGAAAAATCAATTGTTTTTCATTCGAAAAATTGCAAACATCGCAATATTTTTAGATTACGGTATTTGTCGTTTTGGGACCGTCGGCCACGGCCACCGGCGTTTCTCTGCCAAAGCTCCATTTTTTTGTACCTGAATAATATAAAAAATCCCATTTTTTTCAGTGCGAAGTTGTCAATAAGAAGCCGTTTGTCTATGTGGATATCCATGGACATTCCAAGAAATGGGACTATTTCGTGTACGGAAACAACGCGGCGGATTCGTGGAGAGCTGACGATGCGATGGAAGTTCCGCTTGTTCAAATTGAAGAGGAGCAGCATTTGGCACTGCCAAGGGCTCTCGAAGCGGTAAGAGAACTTGACGCCAACCCAAACGTCAACTTTGAGCTCAATTATCTCGCTTCCTATGAAACATATCGAAAATTTGTGAACAGATAAAATATTGCTGACGTTATGATAAACATTTTATCAATTGACAAATTTTCGATATCTTTCACAGAAACCGAGATAATTGAGAACAAAAGATAGTGGGAGCACATGGGAGTCGAACCATCATCCTACCGCTTCGCGGGTGCGCACTCTACCGACTGAGACATGGTGGCTCCAGCGAGGGTTGTGTGTGAGAAAGAGAGAAAGAGAGAGAGAGAGAGAGAGAGAGAGAGGGGGGGAGAGAGAGTGTGTGTGTGCGTGTGTGTATGCAATGTTGTGTTGTTGACCTCTTCTCACTGTTGACGGTTTGGGTAGGCGTCTATTAAAGGGAAAACGGTAACTTTTTCCGGCTTTCGAACTATTCTATAACTACTCATTTTGAATTTCAGACCTGCCCCAGCCGTTTCAACAACTCTGAATGTCGTTTCAACATCTCTCGTGCCAAAGAATCTTCTGCGCGTGTCAACGTTTGGCGTCAATTTGGAGTCCCAACTGCATATACCCTTGAGTCGACGTTCTGTGGATTCCACAAGGGACAAAATGCTGGATATCAAATCAGCACGAACGATTTGAAGGAAATCGGTCGCGACTTGTTGCACTCGTTTTTAGAAATGATTAGAAATTAGTATCCCTTTCTCTGTCTCTTTATTTTTCTCTTGTGATTTCTTTTTTCTCCTTTCCAGTCATCATATTTTTCGAACCATTTTCTAATCGATCTCAACATTGTCTTCCCCCCATATGCCACAGTTTTTTCTCGCGTAATTATTATGATTCAAATTATGAACCAACAGCTCTATAGAGTACAATAAATTATTCATTTAAAATAGAAATCTTAAATTTGAAAACAAAATAGGAATGAAATGGTTTTGGACAACCCGAAAATTGAAAATATGGGACCCGATTTCTTTTGGGGAAAGACAAGAAAATGGAGACTATCGACGAGGGGATAAATGCATTTGATTGGTTTTTTCACAATATTTACAGTCACCCGATTGACGGGGAAGAGTTATTGAGAGCATTGGAAGGTAGAAGAAGGTGGAGAAGGTCCATGAAGTGATGGAAATCACGACGAGGAACACACCGACCTGAAAAAATATAGAAATTTAGGATCATGAATTAGAAACTTGCGAAATGTTGATTTTTTGAAAACCAATCATTGAATCGAATTCGAAAAGATCCAATCAACAAATCGGTTATCGAATAAATCACCTAGTTTTGTAAAATAAGTGAAACGGAAAACTATCGAAAAATCAGTACCGTATTTCCTCTGATAGAAGCCCACCCAAAAAGTCAATTTAAGTCTCAATTATCTGAATTCCTGCTAAATATATCAAAAACTTGTCAAAAACATTGGTGATATTATGATAATAATTTATCAGTTGAAAGATTTTTGATATCTTTCAAAGGAATCGAGATAATTGAGCTCAAAGTTGATGGTTTCGGTGGTAAATTGGAGGAAATACGATAATCTGAACTTTTCAGAGCAATGGAACCATTCTGGTAGACTTTTTTATGATTACAAAATGGGCTATTTTTCTCTGAAAAAAAGACAGAAAATGTTTTTTTGTCAGATATTGCAACCTTCTATTGATTAAAGAATTCTGCTCGAAAGTTGCTACGCCCGTAAAAATTTTTACAACCATTTTTTAATCCGAGGACGCTTTAATATTGAATATCAAGCATAATGCACGAGAGATTTCTCTGGGAGCGTTAACTAAATGAATCAAGTAGTTTTCTAAATTCTTTGAAACCGAAAATCATCAAAAAATAGTATCGACCTATGTTTGTAGAGAAACTTTTTGCAACAAAAATGAAGTTCCAGGACAAGATTCAAATGAAATGCTGACTAATTATAAATAAAATTTCATGTTATTTTAATTCCAATTTGGAAAAGTATTAGGGTGGGGAGAAAGTTTTTTCCGAAAATTTTTAAAACTTTCCCACGGAAAATCCCCAAGTTTCTAGAACTGTCCTAGTGTATATTAGGGTAGAACGTCCAAAAGGCTTTTTCCTCATGCCTATATAAGGCGCTTGTGCCCACTGGTAAAACAATCATGAACGATCTCTCGAGACCTCAAGTTCGGCTCCTCATCTTCTACGAGTAATCTCACGACACCTGTGCGACGGAGACCTCTAAGAAAATATGCCAAGTGTTCAGAGAGAGGACCGCCACCAATTGCACCGTCCGCAATCGGTTTGCTTCCTTTGAGTCAGGAGACACGAGCCTTGAATACAACCTGCACACTATCCAAAACCTTCTGAGTTTGAAAAGCTGCTGCTTGAAGCCGTGAGGGATAAGCCCAATGAGACTACTCACGACCTGTAGAAAATGTTTCCCGCTGGATACATCGATTACAGCTTCCACCTGCAGGTATCAGTTGGATTCCTTTGCCCTTGCCCTCTGAGAGAAACGTCCGAGACGCTCCATCGTTCACCTTCTACGTGATATTGTTCGCCCGCGTATGACTAAAGAAACCCAGGCCAAGTTGCAGAAGCTGGGCGGGACTATGGATTTTCATCTGTAATATTCGCCAGACATTGCGCTTTTCGATTATCATATGTTCCGCTCGCTCAAGCAGTTTCTCAGGGAGAAACAATTCAAAACATTGAACCAACTCAAAATGACAGTGGGTGTCTTCTTTCACTCTTACACGCCCGAATTCTGGAAGACTGGAATCGAGTAACTTCCCAATAAGTGACTCACAGTTGAAGTCAATACTGGTGAATATATTGTTGATTGATCGTTAAAGAAATTGAAGATAATTAGAAAACAAAATCTTTAAAAATTTCGGAAAAAAACTTTCTCCTCACCCTAATACCAGAATAAGTTTTCACAGTTTTGAAAGGAAAATGAAAAGAAACTGAAACAGGATTTTCTAAATACCCCGTTTCAAATATAACTTCAAATCAGAAACTACATTTTCATCTCTTTTCTATCATGTTCTGGAAACTTTTGATTTCCCCAAATTTTTCTGTTTTTGTCGAAAAGATATTTTACTTTTTTATAAATTTTGTTTTTTAAAAGATGCTTTTAATTACTTTGAGCAAGCTAAAGGTTCGTACAGATAAAAATAATAAGTTTTTTACCGAATTTCTATTATTGGGACTGAAAGTTTGCATGTTGTAATTCGGAATAAAGCAAAATTAAAAAGATGGATTTCAAAACTGATTGATATTCCAATTTTTGGTCAAACAGTTTTTACTGTTCTAGGTGAGCTATCTATAATGGAACACTATTGATCTAGACTATGCAATTAGCAAAACCTTGAAGTTCTTTTTTGAAAATAAAAGGAAAATAAAAGCAAATTGTCCCAGGAACTTTCGAAAATTTCAAATGCAACTTCAACTTTGATTTTCGAAAGCTTTTACTAATGTTCCCTAAAAAAAGGAATGATGGTAAACTTTAAAAAGAACTCAAAAAAATTTACTGTTTTATGTAAGCTATCTATAATGACACACTATGAATATTGGCTGGGCAGTCTGTACACACAACGTACTTGTTTTTAATTTTGGAAAATAAGAAACTTTGGAAAAATAAATTTCTCTTTCGATAAATTTGGGAATTACAAACCCATGATCTAATAATAAATCTCTAATGAAAACCAACCTGATAAAAAGCATGAGTCAACGCGGGAAGCATCGAAGCTCCAGCCAAAAAAGAAGTAAACGCAGCCAATGTAACAGGTCCAACACCCTTAGACGTGGCTTCTCTGATTCGATGCTCCGCACATCCCTGTTCCGGAAGAGCAGCGCCGTAATGAAGAGTATAATCGAATGAAAGACCAACGACAAGGACGAGAATAACGGCTTCGAGAACTCCGAGTACCCATCCGAGAAGGGTTACAATGGCAGATGAGGTGCATATAACTCCGGCAATGGTCACTACTGCAGCCAAGGCCTGGAATTTTCGGTTTCTGTTGCATCTTTTATTCAATCGTGAAGAAGTTTATAATAATAATCGTCTGATTTTCTCATACAAACCTGAAAAGAAAGAAGAAAAAAGAAGCCCACCCAAACCGTCAACTTTGAGCTCAATTATCTCAATTTCTGTAAGAGATAATAAAAATCTGTCAACTGATATATAATTGATGACTTTCTGATAAATAATTTGTCAGTTGACAGATTTTTGATATATTTCTCATAGGAAGAGAGATAATTGAGCTCAAAGCGCATGTTTTTTACTAGAGCATATACGCGAAATCACGCGTAACTACGATGTATTTAAGAAAAAGTAAATTGATTACAAACTAGAACTGGGTTGGCTGGGAAATCTGGAATTTCAGAAACTCAAAATTCGTAATATGAAAACTCGACAAACTGATAGACTATGCATATCATGATGAAAATAGACTATGATTTTTAATGATTTTCAACAGTTAACTAGGCCCTATTAGAAATAGAAAAATTTGTATTTCATACGAAAAAAATGAAATAGGATTCTTCATACAATTTTTCTACCTAATGTCATTTTCTCAACACTAGTTTTTCTAAAAAAAAACGCGCTCCCACCTGACATTTCAACTGAATGAATGCAAAAATTGCGACGAAGAAAAGCGATCCGAGAACAGAACTCAAACAGTCCTGAACGATTGAGCTGAGCAAATCGAACCTAGAAAAAAAGAAGGAGTACGGTAGCTACAGTATCCATAACTCACCATGTGCTCATCAACCACCACTCGGGCGCCCACCATCCATTATCTGGTTTCGTCATTTCGAGCATTTCAAACGATTTCGTCAATTTTGAAAACCGATGATTGTATTTTAAAGTAGTTGGAAGCATTGCTGTGTAGCCAACGAATGCAAATGTCTGATTGTCGAAAATCGGAGTATCGTTGTATGACGTGGCGAGGAAAGAGGTAGAATTCCGAAGGCAGAAGTCAAGATATGAATCTGAGAATAAAGGATTCGACATGTTACAGCACAAGAATCCTCTAGCACATGGATATTTATCTGACCAATCCAAAAATCTTTCTGGCCAGAATTTCGGTTGATGGTTCACAAATGGTAGTTGTCTCGCTTTTTCCAGAGATCTCGCAATTTTATGGACGTCACTGGCGGTTTTCAAAGCGAAGAATGGGTCAGATCTGAAATGGCAATTGTTTTTAGTGACGAACCTAACAGCAGAAAAAGCGCTCTTATCAGTACTCCCTCTGACCCTCTCGATTTCCATCGGAGAGATGGCCGAGCGGTCCAAGGCGCTGGTTTAAGGCACCAGTCCCTTCGGGGGCGTGGGTTCGAATCCCACTCTCTTCAGTTTCTTTTTTCTTTTTTCAAACACTTACCGTAATGGTGACGTGGCGTTGGCTCGGAAAGTGGACAAAGAGTAGATGGGTTCAACACCCCAAACCAAGCGAGAAGTTAAGGGAAGAGCGATTTTGGAAGAGACGAATTCGAAATTCTTCTCCGCATTGTTATCATACCTGGAAAAGAAAATTTTGGGCTTATCACTCATATTAAAAAAATAGGAGCTACCATTCATGTAAATTATCCGATGTGAAAAGTTGAAGAGGGTTGTATTCAGGAAGATGGAGTCCCTGATAAGTGATAGCTGCTCCGCCAATAGCCACAATTGATAAGAGAGCCATTAGAAGATAGCGACCCTGTAATGTGAAAAAATAGGAGTTACATATCTTCCTAAACTAGTAGAACTTCAAATTTTCCTAGAATTACAAAAATTATGAAACAGAAATTTCTGATAAGTTCATTTTTTTTCAAAATATCGTTACAGAACGCCTGCTCTTTGAGTTCAATTACCCCGCTTTCTGTAAGAGATATCAAAAATATTTCAACTGATAAATTATTTATCATAACGTCACAAAACGTTTATCAATAAACAACTTTTTTATATCTCTTATAGGAAGCAAGATAATTGAGCTCAAAGAGCAGGCTTTCAGATTTTGGCTCACCTATGCTGAATCAACAAAAACGCCGGGAGAAGGTTTTCTAGGGTACCATTTGTTCGAAAACTGTTCGAAACGAAATTGCGAAAAATTTTTGAAGTTAGCCGTATTCTAAAAATGTCTTGCGAAACACAAACCGGTAGGATTCAGTGCATTGTTTTCAATTTACTGTAATTCAAAGCCAGCTTTTTGAGCTCAATTAAGTCGATTCCTGTGAAAGAGATGTAAAAGTAATCAACTGATAAAATATTGCTGACTTTATGATAAACAATTTATTAGTTGACAACTGTTCGATATCTGTGACATGAATCGAGTTAATTGAGCTCAAAGTTTCCTCTAACTTACCTGAACCAAAACATGAGGCAGTAAGACATAGAGCAAATGAGAGAACACGGATCTGTATGGAAATTTGAATCCAGTGAAACAATCCAAGTGTCTGAAAATAGTTTTTTGATCACTAGTTTTTTGATCACTCTTTTGGCTCACCTATGCTGAATCAACAAAAAAGCCGGGAGAAATGAGACGACCATAAAGTAGTTGAAGATTACGGTAACACCGGCGAACATTCCGAAACAGCTGAACAAAACTTTGAGATACTGTACGTGCAGTAATTCTTACCGAAAAACGATGACATTCGATGTGATATTGATGAAAAATGGAACAACTGTGGAGAAGCACGTCAGGAACATTGTGAATGAAGTGTGAGTGAGGAACTGAAAGCGGAGTTTGAAAAAATAATTTTGCTGTTTCAATTTTGTTTATTAGGCTACACTTTTTTGATATTGTCATTAACCTGACTGTAATATATTTATGTACAGTACCGGTAAATAAGATATGCGGAAACGTATTTGGTAGCTGATTTATTCAGAAAAGTCTGGAGCTCGGATGTCAGGTTTCTGATCACTTTGAAAATTTTGGAGAGTTTAAAACCGACCTAGATTGAAAACTTGAATTTACAGGTTTCTTTAATTCCTAGGTTTACAGCAATTTGCTGATATCTGAAAGACACCTTTTTTTCACATTCTCAGTATAAAAACGTATATCTCAGAAATTGGAAAATAGCTGAAAAACTAGGAATTTTCAAAAAATGCTATGGAAGTTGTCCTTTTACAATCTCCAAAATTTTCAAAATGATTGGAAACGTAACAGCCGAGCTCCAGACTCTTGAAAGTGATCGAAAGGTTGAAATTGAACTGAAAATACATTTTTGTGTTTCTTACTGTATAGATTACCAAATCTTTCAGTTCAATGGACATCAAGTGAAATTCGGAGCCCCACAGATTTACAAACTCCGATTGAAGATTTATCAACTTACAGTATGAAAAGTGTCTTCGTTTAAGTGATTGGGAAAATTGGATTTGAGAAGAAATGCGTCGTCGGATCCGATAGCAATAAGAAGAACAAAGGTGACAAGATTCAGAAGTGGAAACTCGTCCGTGAAGAGACTGTAGACGCCAAGAGCTCCTGAAATTTTTTCGGGTAGTCTTTTGAAAATTTTGGAAATCAAGGAAAGGCGGTAGTTTGAATTTTCGAGCTACAAAAAACCGTAATCATTCAAATAGATTGCCACCCAATCCGTTAACTTTGAGCTCATTTCCTGTAACAGATATCAGAAAGTGGTCAACTGATAAAATGTTGGCAATATTATGATAAGCATTTTGCCAGTTAAAAAATTTCGATATATTTTAAAAGAACCGAGATAATCGAGCTCAAAGTGTGGGTTTCAAAGGATTAGTTTTAGGGTGGGTGGGTTTCTATTGTAGCATTCTCGAGAAACATTTCGAAGTCATGTAAAAGCATCGATTTTGTTTAAAAGTTTTAACATATTTTTCAAATCTCTAGAAAGTCTAAAACTCTTTATTTTTGCTTACCAACAACTGAAAGTGCCAAGAGGAGAATCACAACAAATGCGTACAGTAGAGATTGAGAGTGTACAGCAACAACCTGCAGATCAAATGGGTTACTGTAGAGAACAACCATTTCAAAAACTCACAATCATAACTAATCCAGCAGCCAGAAGGGCGAGAATAGAGTCACGAAGAGCTGCAGCAAGAAGACGGTCTCGTTTGACATCCATCAGAAGACCTAGAATTTTTTTTTGCTGTTTCAAACACTTCCTTTCAGTTTGAAATATATTTTTCTCTTGATTAACGATCAAATATATCTGACCTTTCAATTCAAATTTGCTCTTTTTCGAATAATCAATAATAGAACTTTCGAGAGCATCATACAGTACCACATCAACTGGAATGTTCTGGGTTATATAGCCAGTTAAAGTGAAAACTGGCAAGAATGTGTTGACAAGAAATGGGGAATCATCTCGATTCTTTGGAAGCAGCCGGTAGAATAAATCATGGATTATTTGAGAGGAACACTCCTCTGGTAGATCTGAAAATTGGAAAATATTGGAAAAGAAAGCTCAAAGTACAGTATACCTCGGCAAGTAGAGCATGTTCCTTGGCACTTTTCATTGCGGCATTCGAAGATTGGAGTACGGTATTTCCAGCAATTGTCGATGGTCTTACGCACGATTTTTATGTCGGACTGGAAATCGAGAAAATAATTAGGGGGCACAATAAAATATAAAATTTAAATGGTAGCGATTTTTCAAAATTTACAGTTTCAGAAACTTTAGATGAATAACTCAATACCGGTATCAAGCGTTTGGCATGTGCCGGAATTTTGCAATAAAATTAATAATTATCAATGTTTTTCAGTAGATAAAACATCGTCTTTTAGGGTCTGGAATTGTGGTTTTGATTAAATTTTCTAACTGAAAGTTATCGAGAATGCTTCGAAAACAACTCTAAAACTTGATTTTTGCTCAATTTGGTCACAAATTTTTGAAAAAAAAACTTATGACATATAGATACCACTTTTCAGACCTCAAAGTTGATTGTTTTGAACTGAAAACGTAGAATTCTCATCATATTGAACTCTACTGTATTTAATTGAAAAAAGTATACTTTCCTAAAGAATTTGGGTAATTATTCAGAATTTCTGAATTCCCACTAAGCCTAAAAGGTCTAATCATATTCTCATATATGCAAAATTTTTGAAGAAATGAATAATTCTAAAAATACTTTTCTAGAATTTTCCATCATTTGATGTTTTCTGGGTTCTAGCCATCTAAGAATTCTCAAAAATATTAAATCTGTTTTTTTTTCAAAGTCAATGCTAAACTAAAAACGGATCTTATTCGCTTTGTAATTTGAAAAATCCAAAACTTTCGACTCAAGTATCGTAAAACCTGTAATAGAAGGGCTCTCACACTCCCAAGCTTCGACCCATATTATCTTAGTTCCTGCTAAAGATATCAATAATGTGTCAACTGACAAAACATTTCTAGCGATTTTGAATATTTGAGAATTTAAATGTGAACTTAATAGTTCAATTATCTTGAAACTAACCTCATCCAATTGTGTGCAATTGACTCTCAAATTGGGGGAAATACATGCGAACATATTGGCAACACTCCAAATATTCCGATACGGAGTGAATGAATCAAATCTGGATAGTGGTTTTGAGATATTCGGTTGCATTTGACATAGTTTATCCAGAAATTTCAAATCGAAAATTGCATCGTAGTTGGGAACTTCGAGAATGACTTGGGATAGATGGTCCACTGGAAAATAGAAAATTGGAAAGTTCAAAAGATAATTGGAACTGCGCATTCAGAGATTCAAAATTTCGGAAGCAAAAGAAGCACAAAAACTACCGTAACAGCATCAGTAAAGGGTCAATCACACTATCAAAGATAAGAAAAAGTTGTCAACTGATGAAATGTTTATCATAATATCACCAATATTTTATCAGTTGACAAATGTTCTATATCTTGCACAGAAGCCGAGATAATTGAGCTCAAACCCTGAAAGTGTATGGGCTCTTCTCTTAAAACTCACTCAATGGGATTGGAGAATCATAACAAGCGACTTGATTGATTGCTGATAACAAATTGTCAGCCCAACTTCTCCGAACTCTCTTGCTTACTGGTTGAACCGTCGGCTGTTGAACATCTGTGTCGATTGGGCGGGGATTCGAAAATGCGATTCGATTACTGAACATGAGACTCGGTTGAATACGAGCCCATGCTAAACGAGGACCCGAGAGTACTGTGTCTTTTGTGTCGAAGCCCTGAAATGGGTTTTGGGAATATGTTTTTGTGTTATGTTTCTTGGGTTTCTCAAGATGTGTTATTTTCCTAAATCCAAAATTTCATGTACCGCAAAACCTGTAATAGAAGGGCCCCTACCTTTGAGCTAATTTATCTTGTTTCCTGTCAAAGATATAAAAAAAGTTGCCAACTGATAAATTGTTTATCATAATATCAAAAACATTTTATCAGCTGGCAGATTTTTGACATCTCTCATAGGAATTGAGATGATTGAGCTCAAAATGCAGGGCTTGTTTTTATAGTTAATACGGTATTTCACATTCAAGTCTTCATAAACAAAGTGGAATTTGTTCTTTTTTCAAATATTATAGAACCTCTGAAACTGGGAATTTTCGCAAAAGTGGCTGACACAAAAGAATAAGATTACGGTTTTCATTGTTTTCAATGGAAGCTAAATATTTGGGAACCTTGAAAAAAGTGTAAGAAAGAAGGTCAGTTCCCTACAGTGATTCCTACAGTCATCCTTTTGATTTTCAAATATTTTTCTATACAGTAATCCTTTCAATTTGCGAATATCTTTATCTACAGTAAGCCTTCCAACTTTTTGGAATTTCTTTCCCAACAGTAATCTCTAACAGTAATTTTCTTTTTCGAGCGTTTTTATCTACAGTAATAAGTACAAATTTTGAGTATTTTTTCCCTACAGTTTTTTTTTAAGTTCCAATTTTTTCCTCTACAGAAATCCCTTTCATTTTTGAATGTTTTTCCCTACAGTATTCATTTTTATCCCTGTTTTGTCTAAACGACGATACCATTTTTTCAGTTCTTCGGAACTTTCCTCTTCTCCATTCTTCTAGAATTCTCTGAACCCGATCAAACTATATAACCAGGGAAAGCAGTTGTAATAAAACTGGAATTCTATAAAATCTCATAGATCAGAAGACGTCAAAAAACAAGCTTTGTTGGATCTCAAACAGTTCGACTTTATGAGTGTAGTTTGAACAAGAAGCCATATAATTAGATGACGTCATCTGGAGGATTCTGATTTATTCGAATAGAGAATTCCAGGATCTTTAAATTTTCCCTCGCTTCTCATCCCTCTTCTCATATCATTTGACCCCCATTTTCCTCCGGTACTATTCTTTATTATCTGATCGTTTTTCGCACATTCTTCCGTGTCAAACGCGTAATAGTGTGTCGAAGCGAGAGACGCAGACAGAGTTATTCCTTTTTTTGTTGGATTGAGAATCGAAAACTGTTCAATTCACTATATAAATCGGTGTGTTTCGCAATCAACTTTTTTTGTATTTCTCAAGAAGATTTGAGATTATGCATTGCGTTTCGTTTTGTGGGGAGATGAATTGCCAGTCAGCGAAGACAAACTTGAAATTTCGCGATGCGAGAGTGTAGGGAATCGAGAGGATTAGAGAATTAGAGGATGTGTTGTAACCGATGGAAAAACCTCAGAAAATTCGTCGTTTTTCGATGAATATATACCGGTTATTTATGTATGTGTATTTAAAATAAGAATATGTACAAAATTAAGTGTATATTATTTGTCCATTGTAAAGAGAAGTGTTTGTACTTTTTGTTTATTTTTTGGTACAAAAAATGTTTTTAAAATTTCGAGAAATTTATTTTTTTTTATTTCCGGATTTTTTTTCTAGATTTTAGCTGATTTTCGCCAATTTTTTTGTTATTTTTCCTGCAATAAATCAAAAAATAATATTTTGAATACTGAAAAAAAACTAACGAAAAGTTTTCTTTGTGGGACCTTCCCGAATAAAAGATTCAAACTTTTCAAATGTATGTATTTTTGAAGGACATTCAATCATAAAAGTTCCCATAAAGACATCCTCGAGAAATTTCGGGTCACATAGACTTGACCTTAAGAAAGGGGGATTAGACAGATTTTGTTCAGATTTGGAACTCCAAGTCTTTAAAAACTCACAATCTCCGCATTCTGTGACAACCTGATTGGAAAGAACCATAATAGTACGGAAGGGATTACTGTAGTTATCAGTAGGGGAACAATCAGAAAAAGTGCAGGATGACGATAGAGTGATCGACTGTAGAGACGACCGACACGTTCGATCATCTGAATTGTATGTATTTGAAATAGAAGAGGAATGAGGATGAATTCGTTTGTGGAGGAGATACACACAAGAATGACCACTCCGATGGTCGAAGTGACGGAGGAAAAGTGAAAGGAAAAGTGAAAGAGAGTGGGCGAGGTGCAGACACGGTAAGCCGGCTAATGGTTGGCTAAACCTGTGCGAGTGAGATGAACATTTGTGGAATGGATATGCGAAACGGCTCTGTTCAGAGTTTTGCTTTGAGAATGAAACAGAAACAAGGGCTCAAGTTTTAACCAAGTTTATATGGTGTGCTAATAAAAATTAGGCCTACACCAAAACAATGCTATGAAAGTGAACAATGGGTTCGGGTAAAAATATGGGAGATTAAAAAAGGGGGAACAAACTCAACATTGAAAGGCTCCGCGACGTTTCGAAAGTAACAGCTTTGCACTTTTATGCATGGAAGAAAAAGCAAAATCTTGTATTTGAGTATTTGAATGTTTTTTCGAATAGATTTTTGTATATTTGAAGCTTTCAAAGCATTAATTGCAGTACTTTCGAAACGTCGCGGAGCCCATTAAAAGTATATGGGAACCCATAAGGAAACGAGGTGTGTAAAATTTAACAGACTGATACATTAATTAACAGATGTTCTACCAAACTTCTTCGTCCTGTTGAACAGATTCACGTCCTCCTCCGAATCCTGAGGCACCATAGCTTCCTCCGGCAGCAGCTAGCATCCAGTCTGGAACATTTTGCTCGGCGTCCGCAAGAACCTTCAAAAGATCCGGAACCAGCGGGCATCCTTCTTCGATGAAGCTAGTAGCTCTTCCCGAGTTTCCGACGCGACCAGTTCTGAAATAGCAAATTGTTCCAAAAATTCATAACAGAAACAAAACAACAAACCTTCCGATACGGTGGATGTAATCGTCAATGTTATCCGGCATATCATAATTGATAACATGATCCACTCCTTTGATGTCGAGACCACGTTCCGCGACAGCAGTAGCAATAAGAACCGGCTTACTTCCGTTACGGAAATGCCGCAGAGCTTCAGAGCGTTCTCTTTGTTCGCGTGCGCCATGAATCTGAATGAATAATATTGGAACTATTGAGTTAAACAAACCGTGATAGCTGGAATTTGAGCAGTCGAAAGAACTGCTGCCAATGTATCTGCCAAAGCACGCCTAGCGACGAATACAATGGTCTTTTTGGTATAGACATCAGCGTCTGTAATGATTATTTATTGAAAGTTGAACAACGCATGATATCATACTTGTTACTGTCGTATAACTTTCGAGGTCGACTCCCAGCATTTCAAGAAGCTTGTCCTTCTTGTCGCACATTTCGCACTGCTCGAATTCTTGCAATACGCACTTGTTTGCAGCTCCGATCTTGTCAATGGTAATCATGGAGTAGTCCTGTCTCAGGAACTCACGAGCTGCTTCTTGAACACTGTCTGGGAACGTAGCGCTGAACATGAGAGTTTGACGGTTTTCCTTCTGTGGCATGCCTTCGTAGCCGACAATTGTTCTAATGTCATCTCCGAATCCCATGGCATCGATCATGCGATCAGCTTCGTCGAGGACGAAGTATCGGCACTTATCCAGCTTGATTGTACCTTCCTCGCAGAAATGTTTGATTCTTCCAACAGTTCCAACGACGATGGTGGCTCCTCTTTCGATCTGACTCTTGTTGTAACCAACAGCAAGACCTCCGTAAACTGGCTTGATCTCCATCATTGTCTGATATGCAAACTTTCTTCCTTCGTTGTAGATTTGGTCCGCAAGTTCACGAGTCGGGGTCAAGATAATGCAGCGAGGATAGCAACCACCCTCTCCGGCTGTGTTCAAATCGCTCTCATCAGTAAGACGAGACATAATTGGCAAAAGGAACGCAGCGGTTTTTCCGGATCCAGTCTGAGCGCAAGCCATGATATCGTGACCATCACGAATAAGAGGAAGCGCAAACTGTTGGATTGGTGTGGTCTTGTTGTACCCAGCGTTTCGAACATTTTTCAGCATAGTTTCAGTAAGTTTTGCATCTTCGAACGTTCTACATGGAGGTGGTTTGACAGATTTCCCACATGAGGTAACCTGAACATCAGCATCGAAGAACTTATGGAACATAATTCCCTCCGTGATTTTTTGCATGTTGAGTATTTCCTCCATAGTATCGTCGACTGGAACATACGTTGCCTTTGGTGCTTCTCCCTCTGTTCCTTCTCTCGGTTTTGGAGGATTAGTGCATTCATTTGAGCGATGTCCCTGCTCACCGCAGTTGAAACAACCACGTGGTGGTTCTGGACAATCTGAAGAACGATGTCCTTCTCCGCGGCAGTTGAAGCATTTCATTGGTCCACGTTCCTCTCTTTCACCGCCAAAGCCTCCACCACCACCACCACCGAATCCCTCGTCGTTGCCTGCTCCGAAGCCTCCAGAAGTTCCTCCGAATCCATTTCCACCGCTTCCAAAGCCTCCTGAAGCTCCACCGAATCCACTTCCTCCACGGTTTTCACGAGGTTTGCGCTCTTCTGGGCACTCGCGAGATGCATGTCCAGGCTGCTGACAATTGTAGCAGTCTGAAAACAACTTTTAGAAGCGAATAAACAAGAATAGCTCACTTCTTGGACCTCCTTCTCTTGGCTTACGCGGCTCGGTGCACTCGTTCGACCGATGTCCTGGCTGGTTACAATTGAAACAATCTGAAAGACGAACAATAAATGGTTGTCCAACTTCAAAAACTCACTGTTGTTTCGCTCTCCTCTTTCACCCCCATAGCCGCCTGCCGCCGGATCCTCCTCCAAAACCGGAGTTGCCACCGCCACCGAAACCGGAGTTACCACCGCTACCGAATCCTCCACCTCCACCGCTACCAAAGCCGCCGCCTCCAGAGTTACCTCCAAATCCGCTACCGCCTCCAGATTTACCTCCAAATCCGCTACCGTCTCCAGAGTTACCACCGAAGCCGGATCCGCCTCCCGAGTTTCCTCCAAAACCAACGCCAGAGTTTCCACCGAATCCACCACCGCCTCCAGAGTTACCACCGAAGCCGGATCCGCCTCCCGAGTTTCCTCCAAAACCAACGCCACCAGAGTTTCCACCGAATCCACCACCGTTCCTTCCGCTTCCGAATCCGCCCGACTTTGCTCCTCCGAAACCTTCTCCCGAGTTTCCGCCACCGAAGCTAGAACTGGTCTTAGCTCCGAAGCCACCTCCTCCGTTGTTTCCGAAGCCAGTCGACTTTCCTCCGAATCCTGCACCTCCAGACGGTTTCACTGAAAAAAAAACATCGGTATATGAATAAAATGAAAAAGAAACGAAAACTCACCTGCCGGAGCAGAAGCATTGTCCTCCCAGCCGTCAGCGTCAGCCATTATTTTCTCGTCAATAATCCGAAAAAAGAGAGTAAATGAAAGGAAACTTCTAAACAATGACCAAAAATTTGATAGGCGGCCCAAAAATTCCCGCCTTGGGTTACTGTAGAACATCCGCGCTTCGAGACCGACGAGGTAACGGTAAACATGTCCCTTTAAAAAAAATTGTTTTTATTCGAGATCGAAAAAGGGAAAAACCGAAACAAAGAGTTTTGCTGAAAATGTCTGTCGCTGAAAATTTATTAAAAATTTCAATGTTTAAAATACACAAAGTCATAAATATAAGCTGTTTGAAGAGGTGCATTTATTGTATTTTGCCGAAGAAAAATTAGTTTTTCGGTTTTCTTTCTCGCAAATTCACAAAATAAATCTGAAATTTCAAATAATTTCTATCTGAAGACTGTTATTTCGATCGCATTCTCTCCGTCACTTCAATTTTAAACTATTCTGCATAACAAGGAACTCATTAACATCCCGATTTGCATGCCACTTCCCAAAAATTGACAGAAAAAGAAATTAAAAATTTATAGAATCCGCTTCAAGAAATGAGTCGCATTTTTAAAAATTATTTCTTGTCCCAATGATTTCAGCAGCTTGCAATGATCCTGTTTATGGTAATAATTATCAGTGCAATCTGTTCTTAATTCGTACAGTTGGGATGCAAAGTTCCAAAGTTAACATATTCCTCGCGTTTTTGGGTTAACATAAAAGTTGCCTTCCTTCTCAAATTGATGATCATTTATGCACATTGATCTGAAATAAATTAGACATCCATAAAAATGGACAATTTGGGTGGGTGAAGGAAAGGAAATACAAAAGAGTGTAAAAGGGAGTCGAGTGGGGATCAAAACGGGGACCGTAAAACAGAAACGGGGGGAGAAGAAGAAATAAAATTAGGCGTAGTAGTTGAGAGAAGCCTTCTTTTTGGCCTGAACTTCGAGAATAGCATCCATAAAATCTTCATGAAGAATCTCGGTAGCATCACGACGGAGAGCAATCATTCCAGCTTCCACACAAACCGCTTTGCATTGAGCACCATTGAAGTCGTCGGTACAACGAGCCAACTCTTCAAAGTTCACATCTTTGCTGAAAGAAATATTTGTGTTGGAGGAATTGATTGGGAGAGACTCACTTGACGTTCATTTTTCTGGAGTGAATTTGCATGATTCTCGCACGAGCATCTTCGTTCGGGTGAGGAAGTTCAATTTTTCGGTCAAGACGACCGGATCGGAGAAGGGCAGGGTCGAGGACATCGATACGATTTGTGGCGGCAATAACCTGCAATACTTGAAATGTATCAAGCTAGAAAAAAGCAGAAAACTACCTTGATCTCATCATTTGGCTGGAATCCGTCCAACTGATTGAGAAGCTCTAGCATAGTACGTTGCACCTCACGATCTCCAGCCTTCTCCGAATCGAAACGCTTAGTACCTGAAAACTTTCGCGTAAAATATCGCAACGATCTGTTAGTCGACTTACCGATAGCATCCAACTCGTCAATAAAAATGATAGCTGGTGCCTTCTCTTTGGCAAGTGCGAATGCGTCACGGACAAGCTTGGCACCATCTCCGATGAACATCTGGACGAGTTGTGGACCAGCCAATTTCAAGAATGTTGACTTGGTCTGTGCAGCAACAGCACGAGCCATCATGGTCTTTCCGGTTCCTGAAATGAGCTTGGTTACTTGAAAAATTGCCTTTTTCTCTTATGCTCACCTGGTGGACCATACATGAGAACTCCCTTTGGTGGATGAATACCGAGATTCACGAAACGATCCTTGTGAGTCATTGGCAACACAACAGCTTCAATGAGCTCCTGAATTTGCTTGTCGCAACCTCCGATGTCCGAGTACTGTTCAGTCGGTCGCTCGTCGACCTCCATAGCCTTCACACGGGAATCATACTCGGCTGGCAGTTTCTCGAGTATCAAATATGAGTCCTTGTTGACTCCGACGAGATCTCCTGGCTTGAGCTCATCTGGATCAACCAATCCGACGACTGGAAGGAAATATGTAGCCCGAGTGGAGGTCTTGATGACAGCGCACTTTGTCTTCTGTGCATCCAAATCAACATTAGCTCCTTCCTCTTCGAGATTATCTTCGAGATCCAAGAGCTCCACAACGTTGGAAACCAAGTATGGGAGTGTCTTGTTAACCTTGATACGCTCTGTGTTCTCCTTTATACGCTCCTTGAGAGTTGTCGCTGAATGATTGATTCGTTGCACTTCACTTCTCATGATGCGAATCTCATTGTCCAACAAGTGAATGCGACTCTTCAAGTCCTCTGTCGACATCCTCAAAATATCCTCATCGAGAGCTTCGTCGACGTCCATCGCGTCTGGAGCCTTTCCGTCTTTTGGTGGTGGTGTTTGCGACATTTTCGGAAGGATCTGGAATAATTAAATGTTGATTTTGGAATGACTGTACAAAGCCGGTAACTGAATCTCGTGCTAGGTAATCAAGCAAAAAGAAGAATGATTATCATGAAAACAACAGAAGAATTCGCTTAGGAACAACATGTGTTTCTAGGAAAAACATTTATATTAAACTATGAACATCACTTTGAGGAGGTATTTCAAGCCTCGTTGACGCCGTTCTGAACGGTACGAACAAGAATCTTTCTGTAAGACTAGTTTAATGTGCTAATGTATAAAATTTCAATAAAATTATGAGAATTGAGCTTAGAAAAACTGAGAAAATGACATTCCTTTCCGAGAGGAACACTAAATTAGAAATTTTGAAAAACGATGACTGGTGTATTTGTGCGTCGTGGTGTATTACACAGGCGGCATTTAACTTCACGACAGTCACTCAGTTTGCTTGTTTTGCGTCTTTAATTTTCAGCAAAACAACAATAAACGGAACAGTATTCTTAAAAAATGATCGAAAAAATTATTTTCCGACGATGCTTGTCCACGAAACCATCAACCATGCGAGCCTGGGTATCTGAAAACGGCGCTGGAGTCGAGCTAAAAGAAGTGGCAGTTCCAGTGATCAAGAAACCAAGACAAGTTCTTTTGAAAGTTAAAGTGAGAATCATAAAAAAATATCTTTAAACACAATTTACACATTATCAGGCAGCTTCGGTCAACCCAATCGACGTCGATATGTCACAGGGGTACGGTAGAGAGTTCCTGGGAACATGGAAGAAGGCGGAGGCTTGTGATTTTGCTGCAAGTAGATTTCCCCTAATCCCTGGACGCGATTGTACAGCAGTCGTAGAAGCTGTCGGAGGCGAAGTGCACAATTTAGCACCTGGTGACAAGGTGATGGCTGTGGTTCCAGTAATTCAACCAGGAACACACGCGGAATTCGTTGTCACTGATTCCAAGCTTTGCTCAAAGAAGCCCGACAACCTGAGTTACGAAGAAGCAGCTGCTCTACCTTACGTAGCTTCCACAGCGTTTTCAGCGTTTTCTGTGGCCAGAGTCAATCATAAAAATGCTAAAACACAAAGAGTACTGATTCATGGAGGGTCTGGGGGCGTTGGAAGTATGGCAATTCAGCTATTGAAAGCCTGGGGATGCGAGAAGATTGTGACAACGTGTGGAAAAGAAAACTTTGATATGGTCTCAAAACTCGGAGCTATTCCAATCGATTATGCAGCAGAGAACGCGACAGAACAGCTAATCGAACACGCCCCATTTGAAGTTATCCTTGATACAGTCGACTCCCCATTAGCCAAATGGAGTGATAATGTAAAGTTTCTTTCTTTGCGTTGTTTAAAAATTCAAATAACTTTTCCAGGTTATGGGAGTGTGGAGGAACTGTGTGCACGTCTCCATTGTGTCTCCTCTAATGCGAGAAATGGATAAAAACGGAGTTCCATTGGGTCTCGCCACAACTGCGTTGAAGCATTTTGAAAGAGCTTTTCAGGTAAAAATACATTTATTAGGATTTCAAATAAATATTTTTTCAGAGTCATCTTCGAGGTCGTTGGTTCTCTTATGCCTTTTTCATGCCAAATTCCGATCTTATGCAACAACTTTCTCGGTTCGCAGAAGACGGAAAGGTAAGGATTTGTGCGCTACACGGAGTTCCAGCTCTCTTGGCCAAGATCTTGGGCGCGCTGTGGCTCGCGACGCGGCTGAAATTTTCCAAATTTTCGAATTTCTAGCAATTTTTTTAGTGTTCTTGCATAAAATGAAAAAGTGATTCAGTCTAAGCCGAGCATATAAAACAAAAAACCGAATATTCTGTAAGAAAAAGTTTCAGTGAAAAAGTGGAAATTTGCAGATTTCTTCGGAATTTCAGTACTTTTGAACTGAAAATTTTTCCAGAATATTACGATTTTTTATATTTTAGGCTTTAAGGTAGAGATTTTCTATAAAAACACCAAAAAAATCTAAAAATTCGAAAACCAGAATTTCAGACTAAATGAATACGTTACAAAATTTTCAGATCGTTCCCATCGTCGAACAAGTGATGCGATTCGAAGAGCTTGAAAAGGCATACGAGAAGGTTTCTCGACTTGAAGGACGGGGAAAGACAGTTATTAAATTCGATTAGTGCTCATTTTTGCCATAGTTATTACCTTTTCCGGTTTCTCTAGAATGTATTTGCTTTTTTACATGTATTTTTATCCTTAGACACTTGTTAGTAAATCAAAACCCAATTCTTTATTATTACACAGAGTTCTATGAAGCAGCTCCTGGACCAAAATCCTCGTATCCGTCATCCATTTTGGCCGGATTCTTATCAGGAAGAACCTCAATGTTGCTGATGTTTTCAGCGCCGACTTTCGTGTCCTCTTTAGGAACATCCTCCTGAGTCCGATCCAATTTCTTCTCCGCCTCAGCCGACCTCTTCTTCACTTCTTTCACTGGCGTCTTCTTGTTCTTTTCCGCATTATTATCAGTCGCTGGCTCACGATCCATCACCATCACACTTCTTCCATTTGCCACCGGATGCTTCTCTTTTTTCGAATGTTGACTCGGATCCTTCTTCTGCTTGTTGCTCGACACGGAGTTCTTCGATGCTTGAGTACTTGGTCTCGACGTGGATTTCTGTCTATCGGTACTCTTCTTCTTTGTACGCAAACTTGGCGTTGCTCTCTTCGATGCTTTTGGTTTGTCCATTCTTTTGATCCTGAGAAAATTCGAAGTTATTGATTTTGTTTGATTTGAAAGCTTACTTGTCAGCAAATCAGTAAAACGATTTGTGCGGCAATAATAATACACGGGACTTGTGGAGTTTTAAGCTTAAAGTTTGGCTAGAAAAAAAGAAAGGATGACAATTGTTGGCTAAAAACCTAAACGTTCACGTTAAACTGCATAAAATCGAAGAAAAATTAAAAATAATAATTTTTATTGACAGTGAAAACCCGTTGATTAGAATTGTAGTTCACTTTTCATCTCCCTCTGTCTTCGTCATCGTTGCGTTATTCTGAAAATAACCATAATTAAGAAATCAGTTGTATTTCTTTGACACATTCTGGCAAGAAACCAGGAATTTTTTAAAATTTTAAATTTCTAAAAAAGTTTAAAAATCCAAAAATTCCGAAAAATTCCAAGAAATTTTAACAACCTAAAATTTCAAAAAATTCAGAAGCTCAGAAATTCAAAAATTCCGAAATTCGAAAATTCAAAATTTAACCATTTGAAAATTCACAAATTCTGAAATTCAAAAAAATATTTCTAGATTACGGTAAATGTATAAAAGATAATAGCTTGAAAAATAAACCTTATCCTTCTTCTTCTTTTCCTTCTTCTCCTTTCGTTTCGTCGAAATCGCCTTCATCGTTTTCATCTCTTGCTCTTTAAAAGGACATGCCTGAATAACAGGCTTCATTCCGAACGTCGTCTGAAGGAAGCGAATGACGTCGGTCATTGGAACACGCTCATCTGGATTCTCAGCCCAACAATGCTTCGTAACATACTCCCCAAATCGAAAATCAATGAGAATCGGATCGAATCGCATACGGTAACCATTCTTGACCTGAGTGACGACTTCAGCCACACGCATATCCGGATACGGCTCTTTCCCATTTTCACCGATCTCCCAGGACATGATTCCTAGAAATGTTTTAAATAAAATTATTATTAAAAAATATAGGAATCTAGGAATCCAGGACTCCATGAATCCATAAACCCAGGAATCTTGAAATCTAGGGATCCAGGAATCTGGAAAGCCAGGAATCCGGGAATGCAGCTTTCTAGGAATCCAGATATTCAGAAATCTAAGAATCTAGGAATCCAGGAATCCAGGAATCCAGGAATCCAGGAATCCAGGAATCCAGGAATTCAGGAATCATAAAAACTAGGAATTTCAGGAATTCAGAAATCCAGGTATCTAGGAATCTAGGAATCCTGGACCTAGAAGCTTCAGGAGTTGAGAATCAATTACCAAAAGCATAGACATCAGTTTTCTGGCTATAAATCCCAGTCTTCAAAGTCTCCGGTGCCAACCAACGAATCGGAACCTTCTTTGTCATCTCCATCTGATAACTGACCCCTTCTCTTGATAACCCAAAATCCGCAATTTTGACTTGACCACCTCCATAGAGACAATTTCTGGCAGCAATATCACGATGGAGAAGTTTCCTCTCATGCATGTATCCGATTCCACAAGCAGCTTGATAAATCATCTCCATTTTCTTGGCAGGCGGAAGATTTGTATTTTTCTGCAGATAAGAATCCAAGGCCCCACAATCAGCCAATTCCATAATGACGTAGAGGGGTTCTTGTCCGGCACCAACTCCAAAGAACTTCACAACGTTGGGATGCTGAGTTTTGAAATTTTATATTTCAAATCTCCATTAAAAGTGCCCCCCCCCAAAAAACGATAAAGCTTACATCCAGATTTCTCATCAGACGAGCTTCTCTCATAATTTCCTTAATCTGCTCTTTGTTCAGACTTTCCAACTTTGCAGTTTTAATTGCACAATCCTCCACTTTACCATTCTTCATTGTGATCTTTCCCTTCCAAACTTCTCCGAATGCTCCTTCTCCTAATTTTTTGGTGAGCTCCACTTGAGAATGCTCAATTTCCCAGTCCTGTTTTACAATTGGCGTTTTCAACACTGTCATTTTCTTAATGGGATCTTTGGTAGTCATGTAGTAGTTCACAAGAGAAGTGATAGTTTCGAATCCTTTCGTCTCCAGAAATATTTGATTGTTGGCATTCACACGCATCACATAGTGTTTCACTCCTGCATCCTCCAACTCCTCGTTCTGCATTGCTGACAACACATACTGACGTGCTTCTCCCTGTTTGGGCTCGGTACTTCTGATTAGAAAATCTCCAGTTTTACGAAGCATCGCCTGAATTTTATCACTTTTATCTCTTTTCTTATCAATGGATTACTTTAATATCTTCTCGAGGAAGTAGTCCGTGGTACCAGGGCTCTGTGTGAATATCTTTGTCGAACATTATTATCCTGCCCTCTGGTTTTTGTCAACGAAACTTTGTTCTTCTTTTTCAACGAACAAAGGGTGAATTTGGAAATAGTTTCCATTTTCCAACAGTAGCGTAAACAACGTGTTTTTTTGTTGTGGGAAATTCGAATCTGAATTTCACGAAAAATGTATTTTACATCTAAATTTTATGTACCAGTCGGTTAACGCTCTTGTGGGGCTGAACCTCCTGGCCCCCGCTTACAATACTCGTTTTCTTCTTTTAAAAAATGTTTTATACGAATATGCTTAGAATCTGTGATGAAGATAAAACCAGAAGAAAGTTCTGAAATGTTCAAATTCTCAACTCACAAACTGAAAATTCTGAAATTCGTTTCAAAAAATCCAATTCTGAATTATTTTTTGCAATTTCCGGGAACCGCAATAAAATAGAACTGGTGGAATAGAACTGTGACATAATAGAACTGCTGCAAAATATAACTAATTTTTTTTCTCGAAACCGGGAGCTGGTCCGGTATTAAACCGATCAGAATTTAAATTTACTGAACTAAACTAATAACAAATGTATTTTTCAGACACTTTTTTCATCTGTAACTCGAGAAAAAAGCTGGGATTGAAAGTACGCTCCAGCGCACTATGAGTTCTATTTTCACGGGGAGTTTTTCACTAAATACCGGTGCAGCGCGCTGCTTTCAACTTTGGAATTTTTTTTCTCGAATTCTATTGTCTATTCAATAAAACGTGGGCGCGCCGCAGGTTGCAAAGTGACACGCCCCTTTCTGGAACGCGTTCCCTTTTCCCTCTTCTCAGACAATAGCCCAAGGATTTCTTCTTCGTTCCATAAATTTTTTGTAAATTTCATGAAGAATATATAGTAAAAAATGAATCAAATTTTTTTTGTCCATTGTACTTTAAAACGTCGCAGACTGTTTCGCATTTCGGTAGTGAAAAACTCACCGTGTATTTTGCAGCAGTTCTATTACGCTCAGTTCTATTTCGCCGAGTTCTATTTTGTGGCAATTCTATTGTGTGGCAATTCTATTGTGTGCGGTTCTATTTCGCCGAGTTCTATCCCGTTGTACCCCCGTTTCAGGATAAAATCTGAATTTCTGAATTTCAGAAGTTTATGTAGGGGAGACGCGGCATCTCAGAAAGAACAAGAATGCAATCAGGCTGCCGCTTTCTCTTTGCCAGCGTAGCTCAGTCGGCAGCGGCGCCGCACCCTCAATTCACGCCTTCACAAGTTCAACCCCTCGAGGAGCATATTTAAAGGGAATTTCGGGAACTTTTTTTTTCATGTCTCCCCACATTTAAGAATGGGGGAAAAGTTAAAATAAGAGTAACGAACTACTTCGAATCACAGCCAGTGTAGTTCTTCAATAGAGGCATCACATCTTTGGACACGCGTCAGACATGAGCGGAATAAAAATTTTGAAAATCCGGAATAAGGAATAAGGAAGAAGGAATGAAAATTGAAAATCAGGAATAAGGAATAACAATTTGAAAATCCGGAATAAGGAATAAGGAATAGAAAAAACACCCGGAATAAGGAATAAAGAATAAGGAACGAAAGAATTTCCGAACGAAGGAAGATTTCTTTTTGTCTTGAAAAACACTGTTTATTTAAAAACACAAGGGAGAACTCACAAACCGAGACACAAACAAGAAAAATGGAGAGGGAACTCTCAAACTAGAATTAAAAAACAAAAAAACTAAATCATAATTGTGAATTATGTTTTCCAGGCCATAATTTTTCAAATTGAGTGAACAATAAGTTAATTTGTCAACAGTGTCGTTATTCAATCGGCTTCTTTTGGAGGTACAGATGAGGCCCGATACACTCGTTTTCTGTTCTGACGAAGAATTCGTCAAACTTGCTCCGTTTTTTAGACATTTTTCTGAAGTATTTAGTAATTGTAAAAACCAAATTTATTTCGAAAAAAACACTGAGAAAAACGCATAACTTTTCCAAGATTTCTCAAAAAAATTTTTCGAAAAACGGTGCAAAGGTGCTCCGCTGAACAAAATTTTACGGGGTCGCAAAATTAATTTTGAAATTTTGGCTGGAATTTCAGGCAAAATGGTCAAAGTGGATATTTTGACCCCAAATTTTGTGAATATGATCTCTATAATTTTCTCCGATTTTCTCCGAAATTTCAGCGAGATTGGACCTTTCTCCGCGGTTTTGCGAAATTTTCTCCATTTCTCCGAATTTTTCTACATTTTGGTAAATAACCCCATTAGAGCGTTGAAATTTTTTCCCAGTTTTGAGAATTTTTTTCTGATTTTTGATAGAAAACGTTTTAAAGTTTTGAAAAGGAATAACAAAAAAAATCAGGAAGAAGCAAGAAGGAATAAGGAACAAAATTAAAAAAACTCGGAAGAAGGAATAAGGAATAAGGAATGAAAAATTTAAAATCCGGAAGAAGGAATAAGGAATAGAAAAAACACCCGGAATAGGGAATAAGGAATAAGGAATAAGGAATTCCGCTCATGTCTGACACGCGTCAGCAGTAAGAGGCATTAATGAGGCATTAATGATCTCCCCTAATAGCACCTTGAATATCATCTTTATTAAGACTCCGTCATTGCCTAAAACTCCTCTTTTTGTTGTGACCATTCACATTTCCAGATCAACCATTTGATCTTCTTGAAAGTTTCCCCACTGGTCTCCACTTCTCTGCTTTTGCTGACGACATAAAACTCTATTCCCAAGATCCCTTCCTTCTACAATCTGGAATCAACACTATAGATACCTGGGCCACAAACAATAAGCTTCCTCTAGCTCATACAAAGACTTCTCTTCTACGCCTTGGTTCAAGAAACAAGCACGCTCCCCTCTTCATCTCCTCCTCAGCTATTGATTCTTCTGACAATATTCGTGATCTAGGACTTTTTACCGACTCCAAACTTAAGTTCACTCAACACATAAACAAATCGGTTGCTGTTTCACTTCTCCGATCCAAACAACTTTTGAAATCTTTCAAATCCTCCAACCCCTCATTCTACCTTCACTTATTCAGAACCTACGTACTCCCCTCTCTTGAGTACTGTTCAGTAATCTATTCTCCTCCCCCCAATTCCAAACTCTCTCAAAAACTCGAATCCCCACTCCGTTTCTTCACCCGTAAAGTCTTCCAGAAATGCTATATCTCATACTCTTCTTATCAAGATCGTCTCTCCCATCTTGACCTCTTCTCTATCAGACATCGTAGACTTAAATCTAAACTTATGCTTCTTTACAAAATGATTAGTGACGCCTCTTATATGCCAGAACTATCCTCTTTCTTAAGAATTTCCGACTGTCCTAGGAGACCTATGACCCTTATTCTCTCAGATAAATGTTCCGATGACTTCTTTTTCACCACCGCCCCTATTTGGAATGCAATTGTAAGGAATACTCCCCTTTTTTTGAATGCAATTGTAAGGAATACTCCCCAATTTTTAACTCCCAGTCAATTTTCTACCTTAATCCAATCTTCCATCACCCGGTTTTAGTTTTCTGCTTACCTTTTCCCTTTTTTTTTAAATATCTTGCCAACCTTACATGTTTACCATTTTTTCCCCCATTCTCTAGGTTCATCTCGTTAGGGATTTTATCTAGAACTCCCCTTTTAACTTTTGTGTCATAATTTCTTCTGATCAATAAATTATCAAATTAATTTACAGAGAATAGATAGTCCAAGACTTTAAAATAATCAGTTTCGATAACAAACAATTTATTTAAAACATTTCAGAGAAGAATTATCTTTTAAGAGCACAAGAAACATTAACAGAGCGAATATTGAAGTCCACTGAACCTCCGACTCCCTGCATTCTCCATTCTGCGTCTCCACAGTAGATTCCAGAAAGGACATTTGGGGTTTTCATCTGGAATTAGAGCAAACTTTCTTTTGTAATTACAAACCAAAAATCTTACGCCTTTTGGAGAGACGATAAGGGTTCCATTTTCATAAAGAACAGTGATAACGGCAGGTGCCGTGCAGTTGGAAATGATAGCCTCACAATCCGGATAAGTGATAACCGGATGAGTGAATGTGTAAGTTGAATTGAATTGAGCATATGTTTGAGGAAAGGCGGTTTCAAGATGAGCACTGTCAAAAGAGCCACGCTTGATGCATCCACAGTCTAAAAAATTGAAGCTTCAGGGATTACGGTAGCTGGTCACTTACCATCTCCAATAGCACACGGAGCCATATTGACTTCAGAAGGGATGATAACTAGTGTAAAGAAGAAAAGTGATGAATAGGAAACTCGCATTTTTGCATGAAAGCCAAACAGATTTTTCGGCTTATATTGCCCTTCATTTGCAAAATTCTAATGAGCGATTTGCTGGAATCTGTGAATTTGAATAACCAAATTCAGTATAGCTGTTACTTTGTAGTCGCAAACATGTGGAAAGAGGAAGAGAAAGAGTGTTGAAATCGAGGACAATCTAGATTTTTTGGCTGTTTAGGATCTTAAAAGTGGTATACGGTGAAATGCTTCATTGCTTTATTTTGTGCAGAAACTCATGTACATTCCCATAAAAATAAAGAAAAAATTCGAAAAAAATTGAGAAGCGAGAAACGAATTTAGGGACGAGCTTGAGTTTTCTAGTTCCCTGCGACCGCATTTTTCTCAATGAAAGAACTTTTTGAATTTTCACTGTACAACACTTTTAGACTGTATAAATAGCACTAAAAATTGGAAATTTTCGAGGAAAAAATCGTAGGTTTTTTCGAGAACTTTCGAGAAGAAGAATAGATTTTTTCATCGATTTTTTTGCAAATATTTTTGACTCTTCTTAGGTTTTTCAGTTTTTTTTGAAGATTCTTTTTCGATTTTTCCGGTTTTTCTTGAAATTCGATGGAACTGTGTTTGATTACTGTAGAAAACCTTGTAGTTTGTAGTTTTCTTGCAAACAAAACACGTCTCATCTGCAATTCGGCTTGGTCGTGCTTGCAGAAAAAATGCAAAAAAACAAGCGAATCAGCTTCTACAGTAATCTTTTGTCAAGAAAACCATCTCTTCAAGTTTGGGACGAAAAAAACCGGAAAAATCGAAAAAGTAAAAATAGCTGAAAAACCTGAAAATTTCTAAAATGTTGCTTGAAATTCGAGAAAAATCAAAAGTTTTCTTCCGAAAATTCGAGAATAAAAGCGACCGTTTTTTCGAGAATTTCCAATTTTCAGTGTCCAAAAGTGGTGTACGGTGAAAATTCAAAAAAGATTGGGAAAAATGCGGCCGCGGGGGACTAGAGAACTCAAGCTATTCCTTAAATTCGTTTTTCGATTCTCAACGCATGTTCTTCATAGTTTTTCAATCATTTTTATAAGAATCTACATGATTTTCGGCCCAAAATAAACCTTCAAAATTATTTATTCAACAAGTTTCATGTAAAAAATTCAAGTTCTATTCTTGTTATGTCTTCTTTTCTGCCGACGGTTCTTCTCCTTTGTCTCTCCAACTTTTGAAGCTTCAGATTTCGATGTTTTCTCATTTGTCGAATCACACCTATAACTCAAAAAATCAATGAAAATCTTTCTGATTTTTCACTTACCCAATCAAAAAATAAATCAAACAATTGAAAACCAGAGAAACAAAAAGAAGAGGGATGGCGAGTTTTTGAGCACGAGTCGTGTCTGAAATTCATAAATGCCAAGTTTGGGATCAATTATCTCGGTTGCTATAGAAGGTATCAAAAAGGTGTCAACTGATAAAATATTGATAATAAAATGATAAATAATTTGACAAGTGACAACGTTTTAGTATCTTTCACAGGAACCGAAATAATCAAGCTTAAAGTGTAGGGTGGCGTTATACGAAAAGCGCCCACAACTTGCCACTTTGAGCCTAATTGTCTCGCTGTCTATGAGAAATATCAAAAGCATGTTAACCAATGAAATGTATGTGATTCTATGATAAACAATTTATCAGTTGACAATTTTTTGGTATCTTTTACGGGAATTGAGATAAATTGGCTCAAAATTAGGGTGCCCTTCTATTACAGTTTTTAAGACAGTTCAGTATGATGTCTAGGTAAAAATACTTACATTCAAAATACTTGAAAATATTTTTGTCCGTTGGTCTCCAGGGATTGAAGAAAACAAAAGAAAATGCCACAAGTTGGGATACCTGAAATTTTCAGAGATTTTGATATTTCCTATTTTAACTAACCTCACAGAGGTAATGCTTGGAACTGGTTCCCTCCAAGTTTGGAAAAAGATGAAAAATATAACGAAAGTACTGAAAAAATACATTTCGAAAACTAAAAAACACCTTTTGTTGAATTGGTTACCTGATACCCAATCATAACTGTATAATTTAAAGACACAATCATCTGGGAGTACAGTGGTATGCTGATATGAAAGTATTGGATAAAAAACAGGCTGAATTTTTTTGCAGACTTTTTTGGAACTAGAAAAGAAAACTAACAAATCAACGAGAAAAGCAAGAACAGTTGGGATAAAAGTGAAGAAGCTGAGCCAGTAGATCAAACATTCCAAAATTGGATAAGATACGCCGAGGACAGTCTTCTCAGATTTTTGGACCTTTTTGACCGGAGCGTCAGAGTCACTGAAAATAACTAAGTTTGAGATGGCCTAGAAAACCCCTAGGCCACTAACCTGAACATCAAGAAGATGAAAGTGAGAATGGAGACCCCAAGGAAAAGATAAACACTGTAAACTTCAGTGATTGCAGTGTCTGAAAATATTCTTTAAAGTTTAAATAGGAAAAATCAAAAGTCGTTTTCCTAATTTCGCAGAGTGATCCAGAATTGATCTAACATTCACCGGATGTGTTTTCTAGACCATTTTAAGTTGCTGGCCTAACTTTCGCAAGTTGGTTTTTTCTAGGCCACCAACTTTAATGGCCCAGCAATGCCTTGATATTCAACTGGTGGGTTTTCTAGGACATTTTATAATGATGGTCTAACTTTCGCAAGTTGAGTTTTCAACGCCTAGAAAACTTCCCATGTGAATATCATGCCATTACTACGTCGTTCAATATGGTGGCCTAGAAAACTCAAGTTGCAAAAGTTAGGCCACGCTGCTAAAATGGCCGCAAACGCACTGAGCCTAGTTTAGTGGTTCGACAGTTCGTCAGTTCGAAAACTGGTCGAAAGAATTTTTCGAAAATTTTCGAAATAAGCTTTTTTCGGGACCAAAATTCAAAATTCTCACACTTAAAAATTGTCAAAAAAGTGCCGGATGCTCTCCAATACATTGAAATGAATGGATTATAAAAGTAGATGATGAGGAAATAGGTTTGGACCATCTGAAAGTCTCGAAATTTCAAAAAATTCCAAATTTCCAACCTCAGCCAACGCCAAAAGTCCATAATTCTGAGGGCTAACCCATGACAACAACGCACGTCCGGAGAAAACATTAGTTATCTGGGTATTCAAAATTAAATCAAATTATAAATACCGTAAGCACTCTAATAGAAGACCACCCTACATTTGTACTTTGAGCTCCATTATCCTGCTTCCTATAAAAGTTACCAAAACCGTGTCAACCGATGAAATGTAGGTTATATTATGACATTTTTATCAGTTGACACATATTTGATATCTATTATAGGGACCAAGATAAGCGAGCTCAAGTTGGAAGTATGGGTGGCCTTCTATTAGAGTGCTGACGGTAAATTCTCAAATACCTACCAGCCAAATAAAGAATCCAAGAAAATGAGCAGAGATTACGGTAGCTTGCGCATCTAATGATATATTGCTCTTCGTGCCGAAATTGTGGAAACTGAAATTGTCCCTTCTGGATTTCAAAAAGAAGTGTTGCTTACTCATAAGCAACAGAACCAGCAAGCGAAACTAGAATCATGATTTTGACATTATCGATTAGTTCGATGGCTTTCTGAAAATTTTATTTTTTTTGAAATTGTAAGAAAATAAAAGTCTAAAAACGGTTTTTGGAAAATCTTAGTAGATTTAAAACTATTCTATTATGCTTATTCTGGAACAGAGATTTTTAGAGAAGGCGAGAAATTTGAAAATAAACTAAACTCTCAACTTTGAGCCAATTTATCTCGGCTCCTGTGAAAGTTATTTAAAAGTGAATTACTGATAAAATGATGCTGATAATATATGGGAAGGAATTCAAAGTGTTTACGGTACTTTTTACCTACTTGGAACGAAATCCCGATCAGTTTAAGAGATGCCATTTTTTGTTTGGAAGTTTCTGAGGAATCTGAATCTGAAAATTCAGATGAGCGGGGTGCACGTGGCAGTTTGGCTCAAAGATGTGGCACACCAATGGGATCAAGAGTAGGGTGCCGGGTACTACTGACCCCTAACATGGTTTAGGCTTTTTTTCAAGAATCCATATAAAATTTCTGTACATTTGAATTTCCGGTTGATCCGAATCTATCGAAAAATCCTTGAAAACAAAATAAATAATTAGGCATATGCTCAATGAAAATGCTGTTTTATTGAGCTACGTTTGTTCAGTCACATAATAATGAAACTCTGAAACAGTAAAAAAATTTTTGTGTGCAAAAGTTTTCGTTGGGGATTATTTTGGTCCCATGTAAACTACCGTAACCTAAAGATATTTGTATTTTCCGTTTTTAGTTTCTCGTTTTTCACTGTTTTTCGTCGAGTTTTTGAATGAATATCGAGAAAATAAATACAGGAAATATAACTATTTTTAGATTACTTTAGTTGCCGGTGTGGGACCATCGATTTCGGCCACCGGTGTTTCTCTTCCACAGCTCCAATATTTTGTTCCAGAATAATAGTTCTTATAGACTCCAAATTGTAATGACCCAAATCATATATTGATCTAAACCTTTCAGTAACATAATAATCGAATTCTGAAACCGTAAAATTTTTATTTATGATGCAAGAAGTAATAATCACCTTTTGAAAAATTTCGGACAAAAATAAATTTTAACGTTTTCAAATTTTCCTTATCATGTGGTTTAACAGACTTAGCTCAATAGATTGTAAGTCGTATCCACAAAAATAAAAAATATCATAGAAATCAAATTCAATAATTCTGATTAATTTCATCAGAACTCACATTTTTCCATAAGCAGCGCATTTGGAGTACCACTCTTTTCGTGATGAATTCCGAAATTCCTTATGCGGCTGATACAGGAATTTTCTAAAATCTAAATTTTTTTACAGTTTCAAATTTGAATTAACACACATTAAGTACACACTGTTTCAATTGTTGATTTTCCCAGTGAAGCAAATTACCAGTTAAAGGTGTTCTCGAAATTCCGCTTAAATATGCCCCTCGAGGAGTTGAACTTGTGAGGGCGATGATTGAGGGTGCGACGCCGCTACCGACTGAGCCACGTGGGCAAAGAGAAAGCGGCAACCTGATTGCATACATAAAGGCGAGGACGACAGCTGTACGCAGAGTGACATTAAGCGTTGTACACCGTCACGGTAGAATGCATACCGTAAAACCTCTAATAGAACGACACCCGGATCGTCCACTTTGAGCCTATATATCTCATTTCTTTTGAAAGATATCAAAAAGTGGCTAACTAGTAAAATGTTGCTGATATCCTGATAAATATTTTACTAGTTAACCACTTTTTGATATCTTTCACAAAAAATGAGATATATAGGCTCAAAGTGGACGATCCGGGTGTCGTTCTATTAGAGGTTTTACGGTACCCTAACTCCAAAAAACCTCCGAAAAATCTCCTGTCCCCCCACCTTTAAAGTTCCCAGAAAAGAGCTGTCAAAAGCTGCCATTTGGTGGCTCTAGTAAGAAATTCTAAGAACTTCTGTGGTCCGGCGTTGGGAAAAGAAAGTTTAGTATTTCACAAAATGTTTAGTACTTTTTTCCAGTTCATTATACAAGCTTTCACGAATTGCACCTCCAAATACTTATTTAACCTTACCTTAACTATGAAACAAGAATTTTTCAAATCGGGTTTTCATTGAAATTTTATGGTTTCAGATTAATGTTTGAAAGATCATGAAAAATGTACTGAAAAATTTATTTTCAAATCAAAATTCATTCAAATCATAGTTAAATTCCTTCTCCTATGCATGTATCTGTTTCTGAGCATATTTCTTTTTATGTCTAGCCTTTGAAATTCGCTCTTTATCCTGATGATCCATCCATAGTTGACTTCCCTCCCATCGATTACTACAAGGTCCCGGTTCTCCATAATTATAAAAATTGAATTGTTGATCTTTAAATTTTGTTTGTTCACCTCCATCGAATAAGTGATGGAATCTTGCACATCTAATTTCTTTGTTCGCAGTACAATCGTGAGTGACTTGAAAGTTCGCGGTGAAGAAATCCTGAAAATTATTGAAAGCTTTCTCCATTGAAAATCTAGATACCTTATCCTTCCGGCCTATGGGAATCGGATCCAACTTGACCCTGAAAAGTCCGCTGTCGTACAGATAACCCATACGCCATAAAGGCCCTTGAGGTGTTATGCACTGAGAATAACGATTTAGAAGTTGTTCGTAGCTGGAATTTTCATTTGGAAAAAATAAAATCCCAAAAAAAAACATACATGACTTCATCCTCAAAAACTTCAATGAAAAGACAAAGTCGCGAAGTATCTGGACACTCAATATCAAACTCGTAATCAGTTTTCGAATCGGAAATTCGCTATAAACGATGTCACTTGCTAAGAGAAACAGTATAATTTCAGCTAGAAGCATTTTTGGGGAATCAACTGACAACTGACAAACGTGTAAGAGCAGTTTTAGTGCTTTGTGGATTCATCTGGTCGTGGAATATGAGGTCAGCATAAAAACAATGGGTTTTTAGAGGGAAAAATTATACCTCATCGAAAAGAAAAATGATAATTTTGCTAATTTTAATTTTAATCGTTTATGGACAAGACGAGCAAAGCGACTGGTCTCTGGAGAAGATGTGCAATCATTATAATGGAAAATTCAGGAAACGTAACGGAATATATGTGAGAGGAATTACTGTGGTATACTGGATTACTGTAGAATGTGCGGAGAGATTTTCGTTGAATAACAATCTGCAGTAATCTTTCGAATTTTGAGCTCAATTATCTCAGTTCCTATAAGGAGTATCAAAAATATGCCAACTGATAAAGTACTTGTCCTTTTATCATCAACATTTTTTCAATTGATACGTTTTTGATATCTTTCATAGATACTGAGATAATTGAGCTTAAAGACCAAGTATGGGGTGGCAATTAAAAAATCTTAAATTCTCGCTCACTCCAACCAATTCCAGGATATACATGGAGACATTTGCGATTTCAAATTTTTCTCAACGGAAAAGAACTACTGTAGCACTCATCTACCGTACTCAATCAGACAAGAAGCGGTCTCAGATTATGTGACAAGTTGCCAGGCAGAAGCCACGTTGATATGCCAAAAAGAATGGGTTCAATTCTATGGAAGATGTTACAAAGTGACTTCGAAAATGATGCATTTTGATGAAGCAGAATATGCCTGTGGGGTACAAGGAGCCAGCATTGCATACATTCATCGAGAGATACTGATTAGATTTTGGGATGGTTGGTATTTCAGAAACTATTAGTGTAGTACTCAGTTTGCTGAAAACCGCATTAATCTTGGCATTGAAACAGTAAAAAAATCACATACAATTTTTTCCAGAATTCTTCTCCAACGTCTACCGAGTCTGGGCCGACGCTTCCGAACATTTCAAATCCGATTTGCTTCACGATAAAGGAGACGATCTAATGATTGCATTTGACGGATATCCATTCAATCTACCCTCCAGATCGATTTTAAAAGTTGATGGAACTCAACAAAAAGCTTTTGCTCTTTGTGAATACCCTCCTAGAATCACATCAGCTCATTTGAAGTATCTCGGAGAAATGCATTCTCAAATTTACTACCCGTCATTAAGTTTGGATGAAGGATTTTTCGTAAGGACCACGAGTCAAAGAAGATGGAATGGAGATAGGAAATCCGATGATGAATACTGTAGAAAAGTGATGCACGCATTCGTAAGAACAGAAGGGATTACTGTAAAATCAGCTACTCCGACCGAACGATTTCTAAGAACATTAGGGGAGTTTAATAGAGAGAAATACTTCTCAAGCCTCCAAGATCCTTGGAACACATTCTACCGTACTTCGATTCACTATGCACCCGACGTAATGGAACGGAGAAGGAAGAATCCAGTGTGTCAAGAAGATCCGAATCCTTTGGGAAAGTTTTCTGAATACATAGATGATGAGCTATGGGGAGAAGATGAGCCAAGAATGAGTTGTGATTCTGGAACGGCGAGTACAGTAATCCGATTGTATGAAAAAGGAGTGGAAGGGGTTCTGGAGACATTTTCCGATGCAAGATATGCACCCATTTATTGTCAGGTTACTGTGAATCATTAGAACGGAAAGGTAACAGAAATTTCAAGAAGATTGAATAAAAGCGATTTTCAGGTTGAGCAATGAAAAATGGAATTTCAAACTGAAATCATGATAACTATACTTGTTCAATGTTCAATTAATTCATAAAAACTTCAAAAAATAAAGTTACTGTTTTGCACTCTGCGTTTTAGTAGTTTTAACGATCTTGAAAACAATGGTTATTTTGGTAAAAAACTAAAACAGTATTTCTCCTTTTTCGGAAGGATTTTGAATTGCTCATTGTTATCAGACATTGCAAAAACCTGTAATGGAAGAGCTCCCTTACTTTGAGCCAATTTATCTTGGTTACTGTCAAAGATATAAGGACGTTGTCAACTGATAAATTGTTTATCATAATATCACAAAGATTTTATCAGTTGACACATTTTTGATATCTTAGGAGCCAAGAAAAACTTGTTCAATGTGAAATTTTTAATTCAAAAAATCTGAAGTTCTTGATTATTGTTTCAATTAAAATCACTGTTTTGTATTCTGGGTTTTAGAAGTGTTAACTATTAAAAACAATTATTCTTTTTCTACTATATTAAACCGAAACTATATTTCTCACTTTTTGGGAATGGTTTTGGAATGACTCATTCTTCTAATCCCTTAAAACCATAGTTGCAAACGGGCCGGCAGATAACATAAATCCCAAACGAGATATTCAGCCACTTTTGGTACCAAAGTGATCTCGACATGGCTCATCACGTCTATATCATTTCAGCCGGATTCCGGTCCATTAACATGCCGCGGGCCAAATTTGGCCAAAATCGAGTTTCTCGTCATTCTAGCCCGGTCCGCGGCATGTTACCGGATTTGGTACCAAAACTGTNTGAATATCTCGTTTGGAGACAAGCTATCTGCCAGCCCGCCACCGGCCCGTTCGCAACTATGCTTAAAACCTACAATAAATGAGCCGATGATGTTCAACTTTGAGTCAATTTATCTCGGTTCCTGTAAAAGATATGAAAAAGTTGTCAACTGATAAATTGTTTATCATAATATCAGAAGTGTTTCATCGGTTGACACATTTTTGATATCTTTCACAGGAACTAGATAAATGGGCTCAACGTTAACGGTTCCGGTTGCTTCTCATTAAAATGTTCATGGTATCGCTGTCTTTGTATCTGTGAATCCAAATGTCCGCGTTTCACAACACGAAAATGTTTATTCCTATTCCGATATTCTAGTTTTCGCCTCCGTTTCATTTCGAAGATATTCATCGGATTCTCCCAATTTCCACATGTTTCTGCCATAGATCAAAAGAAAAAGATAGTAAAGACAATGAAAACGGATATTGTTTTCGTTATTGTTGATGTTCCGTAAAACCTGTAATAGAAGGGACCCCCACTGTCCAGTTTGAGCTCAATCATCTCGATTCCTATGCAAGATATAAAAGAGTCAACTGATAATATTTTTGTGTTTTATAATAAACAATTTATTCGTTGACAACTTTTTCATCTCTTCAACAGGAACCGAGAAACATTGGCACAAAGCTAAATGCCCTTCTATTATCGGAATGAATTCTATGGGAAAAACCGGGAACAACATTTTTTAAAACTGCCATTTATGGTGGAAATCTTTCCAACAAAATTTTTTTTCTGTTTCATGCTGCAGTTTATTCGGATGAATGAGCAAAACTACCAATAGAAAATATAGAAATAAGTAATCGTAAATATCCCAGAACTCTGAAACCGCACTCACGACAAGCTATCCTTTCTTCGAATGTGTTCTGACTCCTCTCTTATCTAATTAAACGGACACCAAACTAGATACAATCTGCTTCCCACGTCTTCTGAATCCTCCCGCCCTTTTTCCGAATGTTTCGTCACTGAATTCTCGTTCTCTCCCCCAGAAAATTCACACTCATTATGCACCGATTTTCACAATATTTTTTAGTAATTTTAGGATTCTATGGATTCTTTTTACTGGTTAGATTCTATTTTTCGGTGAGGGATTCGGAAATTTTCAATATTTAAAACTATTGTTTAGGATGACTATACAGACTGGATAGAGTCGGATCAGGATGACATCGATTTGAAAAGCGTGACAATGAGAGCTGATAAAATGGAAATTTTTAACAGTTGGCATCAGTGTTTTTCGGAAAATATGATGAGTATTACAGATGCCGAAGAGGTAACAGTTTTTGAAAAACAAAACAATTACATATTTTATTTTTTGGTTTATTTTTTAGTTCTGGACAAATTTCGTGGGTATCTCTCGAAAATGCGATGCCCAGGCCAATGTTCACCAGCTTGGAATCGTCACGTTGAGAAATTCAGATGAGATGAAACAGGTTCTATTCCCGAAAATTGTGAGTTTATTATACTCAAAATACCGTTTCAAATTCCAATTAATTACTGCCTTGTTGTCGAAAGCAATTAATAACCTCTTTCAATTTAATTCCCATTTTCACTATTAGTGTTTCTTTCAAATTACCTAGATGACCGATTTCATCAGAGTGTAGTTTAGTAAAATTGATATACTTTCTCAGAACTGCAAAGTAGACTGGTTTCAAATGAAAAAATCAAATTAAGATATTTCTGCGCACATATAATGATTAACATCTTCTAAAAGACATAACCAATTTTAAACTTTTTTTTCTTTCGAAATTCGAAATTTAACGCCTTCAAGCTGATTTCTCTTTTAGTGCTATCTTCATAAGTCTTTAAACTTGAAATCTGTGATGCAATCTGTTGAATCATTTGAGAAATCATAAAGTTGGAATTAAAAACAAGTTCTAAAAGTGCATGTTTCATAGGTAACATAAGTTTAAATCAGATGTTCGAAATGCAATGCTAACAATTTTTCCTGTGGACAAAAGCCTCTAAAAAAGTACTCAAGCTCCAATATTATTGCACAACTTGAACTATTCCGATAAAGTACGAAATGCTGGTCTGCTTTTTCAAGAATGCACATTTGACTGATTTGTACAAAAAATTTAAATTACAGTACATTATTTCCCGGTACTGTGCACTGTACATCATGACCCACATCTTCTAAAATGTAAAAGTTACGGCAAACAGTTATGAATTTCTAAAACTCATGTTTCCCTCTTTTTGCACTCGGTTTTCAAAATTTGACGCTTTCAAGCTTATTTCTTTGTGCTCCTACCATTTTCATGAGCCTTTAAACTTTAAAATTTTGATGCAATCATCTAAAATCTAACGATTCAAATTGAAAACCGGTTCGAAAAAATTCTCTTGGATCTGTTTCAAAAATTCCTGTTTCAAAAACAAAGTAAGATTAAACTTGATCTCGGAGATGCAATGAATGTGCAAAAATAATATTATCCTTGTCTGAGAAAAAAAAGGTTGAGACGCAGAGAAAAAGTGTCTGTGTCTCCACCTTATGTGTGCTATTTAGGCTCTCCGCTTCGATATCGCTACCGTTTTCAGACTGCAAAAAATACTCTCTAACCTTTTTTTTCTCAGACAAGCATAATACGAATAGTGTAAAAATTCCAATAAAAGTACGCAAGCTATAATTTTCTTCAGTAAAATCTGAACTTTTCCGATAACGTACAAAATTCTGGTCCCCTTTTTTAAGACTGCAATGTTGACTAATCCCTGCAGAAAATTCAAATTTACGGTATCTTATTGCCCGGAACAGGTTCAAAAAAATTATCATGTATTCGTCTTAAAATTCCTGTTTCAAAAGCAAGCTGAGTTAAACTTGATCTTGGAAATGCAATTCGCAGAATGCTGGATGATGAACAAAAACGCGAAAAAGCCAAAGCTCTAATTTTGTTCACTACTATTATTGTTGTCCGAAGAAATTAGTATTAGAGAGTATATTTTGCAGTCGTATACGGTAGGTATCTCGAAGCGGCAAGCCTAAATAGCGCATATTTGGTGGAGAGATTTCAATAAACTGTCTGCTACTCAACTCTAATTTTTTTTTTCGGAAAACAATAACAGTATAATTTGAACTTTTCCGATAAGGTGCAAAATTATAGTTTATTTTTTTCAGAATTACAAAGTTGACTGATTTCTACAGAAAATGTCGAATTTATATGATATCTTTTGTAAAGCAGTTTGAATTACAACTCTTTTTGGAAAATTGACTTAAATCTGTTCTCAATATCCTTGTTTTAGAAGTAAGGTAACATTAAAACTGCTATCTAAATTCGAAATTCGACGTCTTCAGACAAATTTTTTCATTTAGTACTGTTTTCATGAGCATTTAAACTTGAAATTCTTGATTCAATCTGTTAAGTTATCTGAAAAATCATACAGTTTGCAGTTAAAACCGGTTCGAAATCTTGCTTTTGTTCGAAAAATTCCTAATTCAAAAGTAAGGTAAGGTTAAATTATTTTGATTTTGAAAAAGCAATTTGTATATGCATTTCGGAACGGCAAAGTTTAGTTTAGGGATTTGTCCTTTTTCACTGTTTTCAGCTTTTAAGCTTGAAACCCGCTAACTTTAAATTGATCTCTGTTATGCAATTCGCGTACTGCTTCGGATGGGTTAAAAACTCTTTCGTAAAATACTGAATTTAACAATTTCAGTTCAACGCCGGACCACACAACTTCTTCACAATTGGAATCGGAAGAGATATTCGAGCGGAGAAGCAATTTAGAAGAGTGAGCTACCGAAAAGTCAAAAACTGAAATAGTTTGCTTTTCGAGTTTCTCAATTTAATTCTGAAACTGTAAATTATAGAATTTTTTCCCATTTTCTGAGAATCTTCTATATAAAGGCGTATTAAAAATTTAGGAATTTATCAGAAAGAACGTTCCTTCCAACGCAAACCTTTTTTTTCAGAAAATGCTGAAACTCGGAAACAATGTCACCTATTATGGTGCTGACCCAATTCCATATATAAATGGAGAATTATATTCTCAAATTGGAACATATTTCCCATTGGCAATCGGCGGGAAGAGCGGGATTTCAAACGCGCGGGTTATGGAAAAATGTGAGAGTTTTGTTGAATTTAATGAGAATAATTGATTTCGAATGTGAAGAGATACCGCCTATTGGGCTACTTTTATTCAGTCCCATAAATAATACAAATGTTAAACCGTAAAAAATTGTTTGTGCTGGATTTTTTCGAAAGGGAGTCTTATAATGGTAGCAAAAATTGGAGCTGTGGCAAGGCCCCATAACGAAAACTATCGTAACCTAGAAATCTTTATATTTTCAAACTTTTTTCTCGATTTCCTAAAAAAAAAGTTCACTCTCAATAATTTTTGTTTTCCGGCTTATTGTGAGGAAATAATAGAAAAATCGACGAAAATAAATTCGGAAAATAAAAATATTTCTAGGTTACGGTAGTTGTCGTTGTGGGCCACCGGAGTTTCTTATTTTGATAAAACTAGCCAGAATATTTTATTTCGATTTCGGTCACTTATGTAGTTTTTGTTGGTGCAACATGAACTTATTGAGCTAAGTCTGTACAGCCACATGATAATGGAATTTTGAAACCGTAAAAAAATTTTTGTCTCTCGAAGCAGATCACAATTATTTCAAGAATGGTAGTTCAGATGAAAAACGAGATTTCTTGATATCGAAAAGTCATTTTTTTTTGAGAATTTCAAAAGTTTTTTGTCCTGTTCAATTTAAGAAGCAGTTATTTTCCAACTGCTTTTCCTAGTTGCTCAAAGTATTCGAGCGAGAAAACCATATTCTCCTAGTAGAAAAAATCACGAACAACGTCAATTCTGTAAAAAATTACTGAGAAATAACGGAAAATCTCATAATCCAAAATCTTTTTTGTTGCTAAACTTTACTTTTATTAAACATAATCATTTCAGACGGCTACATTGAAACCAGCATGATTCACATCGACATTATCTACTTCTTCAAAGAAATTCTGAATATTACGGTATCAATTTTTCTAGACTCTCCTATATTTTTCACATTTTCAGACAATCGATAATCTATGGTTTGATGCAGAAGGTGAAGAGTTTGGAAACGATTTTTTCGATATTTTCTATCAAAATGGAAGATTCGATCAAAATAAAATCGATGTTTGTCAGATTAACATTGAGGTAAAAATAACCTAAATTTTTAATCTAAAACTCTATTTTTTCTAGATTCATTTAACATCAGATGTGCCAAATCGAAAACGAGAATTCATGAAATTTTTGAAGCGAATCATTCAAGAAAAACGATATGGAGTGTATTTTGGAGATGCCTATGGACATATCAGGATGTTTATGTTCAATTATGGAAGCCCATATTGTGTGGAAAAATTCTGATAGTGTATTCTTGATAATAAAACTTTTTTCAATTGCTTCGTGTTTCAAGTTACTGTCCAATTTCGACAAAATCAGAGCTTCTTGATGTGTAAACTTATACCTAACTCTGATAATGGTCTTGCTAAGTATATCTATGATCATAACCGGAAAATATTACTCTTGTCCGAAATTAATGCACGTTGCGGCCGAGAAAACAACGGTGGGCGGAGCTTAGCTCCACAGAGAGAACCTTACTGTATTTTTCAAATTATTGCACGCGCCTTTAATACAGTACCTCAACATTTATTGAATTTTTGCTTTTTTTCTCTTATTTTTTCGCTTGTTTCTGTCTAATTTTTGTGTAATTCTTATATTTAAATCTTTAATTTATTTTTCTTATTACATAGAAAAAACAGCCAAATAGGGCCCAAAAGAAAAAACGTCCGAGGTATGGTATTTAAAGGCGCATGCATCGATTTGTTATTTTCGCTGTGCGATCGACGATGCGATTTTGAGTAAATTTTCGGCCGCAACGTGCATTGATTTCGGACGAGAGTAATACTAACTATTATGAAAGGGTCGAAAAGGTATCTTGTATTTGTTACAATAATTCCTGTTTCAAAAGCAAGCTAAGCTTAAATTAGAACTTGGTTATGCAGTTTGCAAATGCATTCGGATGGACTAAAAACTTGAAAAAAGAAATTAAATCTTTGTGAGATACTAATCTTTTCCGAGAATTCAAAAAGGTCATGCAATTTTCATTAGGTTCCAATAAACGAATGATTTCTGAGAGCACGACGAATGAAGTGTGGAGTTTGTGAAAACGCATTTGAAGGGAAAATGATAGTACCAGGGATGAGAACTCGGAAAATGAGAACCGATACAAATATGAACTCGTACGAATAAAAACTGGTAAAATACATGTCAAAACAGACTTGTTTTGGAAAATATTGAAGTATTGGGAAGAACGAGACCATTTCGAAACTATTTTTCTTAAAAAATTGGATCCTGAACTACGAAATAGAGCCGGTAAACTCAGTTCTCATTTGTCTAGTTCTCATTTGTAGCTGTTTTCATTTTCCGAGTCCTCATCTCAGGTACCACCGCGAAAAATGAATGGCTTGAGAGAAATAGGAGACAGATAGAATAATGGTGGTTGTTAAGAGAACGAGTGAGGAGGATTAGGAAACAATGGGTTACTGCAGATTACACACGATATCTCATGGGAAGGGCACTCATTATCTAAACAAAAAAAATATGGAGATTGCAATAAAAATGCATAGTCATATTTATGAGAATTATAGTAAACACAGGTGATTCGCGAACAATCCGTTACGGACGCTCCGCGTTCGCGCGCGGTTGAAATAGGAACCGCATACGGACCGTACGCGAACCGTTTTCAATAAATAGCAGTACATTATTCGGATTGATCCGTATCCTGTCCGTTCGCGAGCTCCGTATCCGATCCGATTGCGAATCATGAC